TGCTTTAGTGCTTCCTCTTCAGGTGATTAAACAGGTTTGTCGTGTTACCACCCGACGTGCGAACGGTTTCTGTGCAAACTTTGCAAATTACATTTGCTTGCGCTTGATCAGTTGTGGAAAATCCAAACCAATTCCATATAATGGAGGTGGAATTTTTTTTAGCGACCAACTCCGTTTGGGTTTCAGCCATTGCTCTCCATGTGCTACCGCTACACACACAAACAAGGAGGCGGGTAGGAAAGTGCGTCACTGCCCGTAATTCACTATGATTGGTCGGTCAGGTTGACGTCAATACGTCTGGTGCGTCGGTGCATCAGCATAGAACTGCAATTTATAGAATGTGCCCTAGACAATCCCACGATCTCTGCAGTTTGAAAGATCGTCTTCACGTTGTAATCCTTCACGATCTAATATCGTCATATCGCCCACCCCTAGGTCAAATCAAGTTATATAGGCAGCATTTTATGTATATTTGATCGTTCTTTTCATTCAAGTTAAATATATCTAGGAGAGTGAGAGGAGAGTTTTTATATATATATATATATATATATGTAATATATAAAAACCCTAACCCAGGGACTATTCCCTGGGCAGTGGGAGTGGGGGTGGGAAATGGGTGGATTGTATTTGTAGTTTTTGCTTTGTTGTTTTTATTTAAATAGACTGTCTTGGTTCATCATGTCAGGGGCCAGGGGGTGGGGGTGAAGTGTGTTGTTGTCACACTTTCCCTTGTCTGCCTTGTATCACTTTTGTAGTGATGCCCCGATTAAGCGACCACTGATCATGATTGGTCGATTTTCATTAAAAATACATGATTGGTAGATCAGAGTAAATGCTTTTAGTCACCGATCACCTTAAAATGGATCTGTGGTTAATACTCTGGTGTCTGTGGCTGTGAGAAGCACTGTGTGCTGTGTAATGTAGTCCCGCCTCCCACCAGGTTCACTGCACAGGTGCGACATGCCACCAAAACAAAACAACATGTCGGCCTTGGGAACTTTTACAAAGTGTGTGAGACTGATATAACATACGCCTTCTGAAATGCAGTGCACCAAACTAACTTTTTCACTGCTTGCAGCCCTGATTTGGCCATACCTTTTTTAAATATAGCCTGTTTCTTCATGAAGGAGGCTCTTAGGCTACCTCCTCCTTAATTATGTTTAGCAAAAATGTAAAATTACATCATGATCGATTTCAGTAATTGAGTTACAATAACATTCATGATTTTTGTGCAGGCATAATAACCTAAAAACCTGTTACTAAATCATTAAGAAGTTTCAGAGCGACAGAGACACACAGCGTTGCGATAATCATAGTAACTCCCTCACTCACCTGCCTGTGTGTGTGTGCCTGCATGTACACAGTCTGAGAGGAGCAGCAGAATGGGAATAAATGGCAAATTTATCACTTTGCCCTGATGGTCTGAAGAACTCTCTGTTGCTCTGTGTTTTCTGTCTGTGTGCTGTCAGCTTCTTATCACGCAGCGACCTAAACTTACCACGGAGCAAAATGATTTCACCCAGTGACTAATTGTGCTATTCGCGCTGTTAGAGACCTCGTACACTACTCAAATGCTATTAGGTTTACTGGAAGATTTAAAAAATATGTGATATGACCACCAGGCCCCGACCCGGTTTAACCCCTGGCTCTCATATAGGCAGAGTTGAATTTGATGACCATTTTGTTCTCCCTCTGAAAAGCAGTGGGGAGAAGCTCTAGTCTTTTGGGTGATGCACCGGTGCCGGCAAGTTTTGTGCTTAAATTGCAGCAGTTCAAGCTTAAATTGTGTTGACTTTGTAACAAGTTTAGAGTTGCCTGCAATGAATGGCCCACATTGCTTACACTACGCATGCAACATTGCTATCATACCGCAACCAAGGGTATTGAGTTAGTACAGTGTCTCTGTCTGTCCATGTTTGCCCCTGTATTCTGATGAAAGGTTAGGTAGTCAGACTGACTGAGCCAGTGAAGAAAAAAAGAACTACTTTCAACTACAACGCAGTACATGTAGGGCACCAAAACAGCCTAATGGATAATTATCATGCAACGACCATGTGTAATTTTTACTTGCACACTCAAAACATACTCGCATATGCATTGCAGTTTGGAGCCCTGCAATGTCTGCCAAAAATTATTTGTATTAGCCGTGGATCAGCTGATCTCACTCATACATAATAGGTTTCGTGGCAAAAAACTTGATCAGGGCATCCCTACACTTTTGTGACAATCATAATGCTTCCCCTTCCTTATATAAATAACAGATGATACACAGTGATAATTGATACGGTGATAATTGTGCACACAATACAATGTGTGTCCATGGTGATGAATGACTGTGTCAGTGCAACAATGAGACTCAATGATGAATGACTTCTTAGTAGGAGACATTAATGAGATCACTCAAATGGATACATGTTTACCTGACAGTCTGTCTCTGTCTGTCTTTGTGTCTGTTTCTGTGTCTCTCTGTGTCTGTGTCTTTCTCTGTGTCTGTGTGAGTGTTTGTGTCTGTCTCTAACTATTTCTCTGTCTCTACAGCGGCGATATACCTGAAGAACATGGTTAGTCAGTACTGGCAGGACAGGGAGCCGTCTCTGGGTGAGGTTGTCTTTCCCTTCAACATCCATGAAAATGACCGGCAGCAGATCAGAGACCACATTGTGGAGGGCATCATTCGCTGTCCAGAGTCCATACGGTACACACACATATTGTCATGTTTCCACCTCTTTTTATAATGCATCAGCCTGTTTTATAGAAAAGCAACTTCTGCCTTTTTAAATGTTCTCATAGATTTCACATAGTGAGCTCCTGAATGATGAACACTTACTGAATGATACTGACTGTTGGTGCCTGGCTGATGCAGCTGGTGACTCCATATGTGTTTATACTGTCTGTAGCGCCCAGCTGACCATGTGTCTGCGAGCCATAATCAAGCATGACTTCCCTGGACGCTGGACTGCCATTGTGGACAAGATCGGCATGTACCTGCAGTCTCAGAACAGCGGCAGCTGGTATGGCAGCCTGCTTGCTCTCTACCAGCTGGTCAAAACCTACGAGTGAGTTCCTCTGCTCGACCTCATGGCTCTGAACATCCTCCTGGGGAGACATCACCTCAGACCAGGGCTGTAGGTTTTAAAGGAGCACCTACAGTATATGTGGTCCAATTACCCCAAACAGACTGTTCCTCATAAAGAACTAGAGAGGAACTAGACAAACACAAAACTCAGAGAAACACTTACCAGCAGTTTTTACCCAAAAAGTTTCCTGGTTTTATCATGATTTTCCATATAGAAATAATTTATTTCAGATTGAAAGTAAAGCTTCTCTACAAACAAACACCCTTGTAATGATGATGAGGAGGACAAGTCATATTTACCTGTAACATTCCAGGAAAAGTATTCTTGTCAGCTGTTATTTCTGAGCTGCCACATTCAGTATCTAGTGTTTGAGTCTTAAAACAGACACAAATCTGAAGAACTTGGTCACAATATATTTCTCTGTAGGTTAGCCTTTGAAAGAATCCATGAGTTCATTTAGGGATCACCTTTAAAAAAGGGCTGGGTTGAAAAAATTGATTCTCCGATTAATATCGATTCATAAAATATATGTAATAATTTAATATATGTCTTTTACACTCTCTTGTGGATGTGTCACAACAAGATCTTGTCAGGTGAGCGTAGGTGCGGCGCTGCTGGAACGATGCTCCGCCACTTTTTTTTCTCAAAGTAATGAAATAAAATATCCACAGTTTGCAGGATCCGGTTGAAATGTATCTATATTTTTAAGCGCTTGAAGATCTGATCACTAAAGTGTATATCATGCAAGATATCTAACAAAAAGAAATGAAATGGTCGAAGTTGTCTTATTGACATTTAAGGTGTATTGATTGGTTTCCAAATGTCAGTCATGCACTGAGTAACAGCCAAGAAAACATTCCACCTTAAAAGAATCCAGTAGTTGCCGGCAGCCTCTGGGCTGCTCAGTGAATTAAATCGTAAAGTAGTGAAGTTGAAAAGGCAGAAAACATCCTTTCATTCATTATTCACTCTTCTTAATGACAAAGTCTGTTACACTTGGACACTTTGCACTGCTGCCTAGCCTGTTGGCTTCATCTGACCTCTGCCTGCACTGTAGCTTCTCCTCTGAATGGATATTTCCAATAAGGCGTCATTTGCTTGACACAAGTAAGTAAATGTATGTAAACTAGCCAACGTAGGAACAGTGATTACATAACCTTTGAAACGAGCCACAATTCAATCGTGTGCATGCACCATAGTGCAAGTGACAGACAAAAACAGCAGACACCAATGAAATCAGCAGCAAGTCTAAAGGCAGGTGTGTGGCTGCATTTAAGATGTTAGCTATATCCTTCCATTGTAGCTGGTGTACTGGGGTACGTTAACGCACATTACAGTGATTCACCTGATGCCAAACACAACATGCACAAAGGAGAAGTAGTAACTGTCTGGCTTGATCTAGAGATTTGGCCTCTCACCTATTTTTCTCACGTGCTGAAATAGACAGAGAAAAGACCTGTTGATGTCATATTGACATCATACCAGCAACATTACTCAAGACTGATAGCTTTCACTATGTTTGTCTCTGTCTAGGCGGAATCTTAATATCATACAGACATGAAAATTGTAAATATATATTTTTTTAACCATTCAAGCAGCTGCATATGTAGACAGTGACATTTTACTGATGTTTTCTGCCAAAAATGAATCAGAAATTAATTAATAATGACAAGAAATTCAAGTAACCTGCCAACTCTGTGTAGAGAGTTGCAGCAGCAACACGGCACAGATTCAGAAAATTATCATGTGGATGTTTGTTGTTAGTGATCTTAAACGTTTTTGTGATAGACCAACCAAGTATGTATGGAAAGTTTGGGTGCTGACCCTCAGATTGGTGTGTGTGTGTGTGTGTGTGTGTGTGTGTGTGTGTGTGTGTGTGTGTGTGGGGGGTGTGTGTGTGGGGGGTGTGTGTGTGTGTCTCAGGTACAGGAAGGCAGATGAGAGGGAGCCGTTGCTGGCAGCCATGCAGATCTTCCTGCCGAGGATCCAACAGCTGATCAGCCAGCTTCTGGCTGATGCCACCATCTTCTCTGTCCTCATCCAGAAACATATCCTCAAGATCTTCCATGCTCTTGTGCAGGTGTGTGTTTGTGTCTCTGTGTGTGGATGTGGTGGACTCACACCTGATTTGTGGCTGTCTGTGATGGGATCTAAGTCCAAGGACTCTAAGGACAGTCTAAGGGCTGTTGTGTGTGTCAGTGTCATGATGATGATGATGATGATAAGCATAAACCTTTGTGTTGCTCTGCAGTACTCGCTGCCTCTTCAACTGATCAACAACACAGTGATGACTCAGTGGATGGAAATTCTACGAGACATAATGGACCGAGACGTCCCTGCTGTAAAACACACACACACACACACACACACACACACACACACACACACACACACACACAGAGTCATTTTAGTAAATTATGTTTTCATTAGTTTGTTTTGCCAATTTAAAAATAACAGTAACATTAAAAAGGCAGTTTTTAGTTCCAGTGAAACACAGATTATGAGGAAACAGATTTTTCTGAGCTTTGATTCTGTGATATTAACTGGATTTGACCATTTAACATCAATAAAACTATAGAAAATGTTGACGATCTGAATGAATGGTGGAAGATCTGTGATCCACTGTGTTCCTGAGTCTTTTTACCTCAGTCACATTTATCCTGGAAGTCTTCATGTTTTCAAAGACTTTTCAGATTCTTTATTCTGCCATTAACCTGTGTTAATGAATCACTTGGAATCACTTGTTTACATGGTAGTTAAATCTGACTGAAACTAAGTTAACTGTGGCTGGGTCACACAAGCTCCTAGAACTGACCATGAAGAGTGTGTTCATTAGGAGACGCTGGAGGTAGATGAGGACGACCGTCCTGAGCTGGCATGGTGGAAGTGTAAAAAGTGGTCACTGCGCATCATCACCAGACTGTTTGAGCGGTGAGTCCAGATCACCAGAAGCCAGATGTGTGGTTCTCATAGGGACCAGTTTTTCACATGCCTCTGCTATAAATTACAGGTATGGAAGTCCTGGTAATGTGACAAAGGAATACTACGAGTTTGCAGACTTTTTCCTGAAGACATATGCAGTGGGTATACAGCAGGTAAGCGTGTGTCACTGACACTACAAGATGTTTCTTAAGGGTTTATCTCTTTATCCGGTGCTCAGGCTCTTTCTCTCTTCTACACCCAGGTCCTGCTGAAAGTGGTGGATCAGCACCGACAGAGGCAGTACGTGACTCCTCGTGTCCTGCAGCAGTGCCTCAACTACCTCAACCAGGGCTTGTTGCACTCCCTGACCTGGAAACAGATGAAACCACACATACAGGTAGGACAGACAGAGAGGACTCAGACAGATCATTTTTCATTATCCTTACTTGAATTTGACCATCAGCTGTGGCCACATGAGTTGGTACGGTTCTAATCCCCAAACATCATCTTCTGTCTACTTTACCAAATCCTCACGGTTCTTCTTTTGTAGTGGAAACACAAACAGGAAAGTTCAAAGTGGACTTTTTGTTGTTGTTTTGATCATGCGGAGCAACGTTATTATCCTTAACTAAAACTAGCGAAATAACGAAAACTAGATGTGAAATAACATTTTCATTCACTAGAATAAAAATAAAAATGAGTTTCATAAAAAAAAAAAAAAAAAAAACTATGACTAACTGGAACTGTATTGTGTGTTTACAAAACTAAAATAAACTCAAATTATACAGAAAATGGTATCAGTTTTTTCATACATCAGCTGGTGTTTTAGAAGGATATGAACTCCATCTTCAGTTTTTTAGCTGTGTGGATGGAGCAGTATCTTTTTCTTTTTTTTTTTCTATCAAATGTTTTATTTTAACAAAAATGAACACAAACACAGTGATGTACAGCCAATCATTAAAGTGTATCATCAACATCAGGTATCCTATCCATAGACTTTACAGAGACAATAATAATGAAAAAGGAAAGAGGGAGCAGAGGGCCTTGTGGAACAGATTATATATGGACCTGCTGGATGTCTATGGATTCTGGACTCTGACAGATAACAAATCTTGAGATATACAAAAGTCACAGTAGGGCTTTCATTGCCTCAGCCGCTGAGGGCCACATATTTACATTTTCCTCTTTAGCTCAGTTTATATGAGCTGTTGATAACTCCATATAAATGACATCAAGAAAGGTTAGTCCTTAAGCCTGTTAAGCCTGACAGCACAATACATTTCTGATATTTAGTTAGTTAGTTAGTTTGTTTATTGTCCCCAAGGGGAAATTCATTTTCACAGTCCAAGGACGTACCGTTTTTTCCTCCATTGCTCGCCATGAAACTGTTACATGAAGGTCAAACCAATTAGTTTCAGAGTGAAAGACCAGTAATAGATTTTAAAGTTCTTCCCTGCTGGACAGTAGAGGTGCTCACACAGGGATGCTTCCCATTCCAAATGCATTTGGAAAAGGCTGCCTGGAGTTTACTCCAGTATCAAGCAGGGGGAGAGAGGGGGATCACAGAGCTGAAAAAGTTTATTTAGGGCAACATGTTCATTTTAATAATTGAGATTCGTGCCTGGAGTGAGTTGCGCAAGCTTGCTCACCTTTCTAGATCACTTAGAACCTTATTCAAAGTCTCAGTGTAATTATGTTTAACAGTGCGATTTACGATGGGGAATATTTTAATACCTAAATATCTGAAATGTTGAACACAGGGAATATTAGTAGAGTAGAGAGGTGGTCCTAGCTGCTTCATTCAATGGTAAGAGAGACAATTTTGACCAGTTGACTTTGAATCCCGATAGCGCAACAAACTCATCTAGTTTGTTTGCTGAATCTGCTAGTGTGTTTTGTCTGAGTTGATGATGTTGTTTGTGGTAGCATAGGCAAGATAAAGGAGAAAATAGTCGTGGTGTGAGGAGCAGTGATGGCTGGCAATAGGGGAGTGACTCTGGGACGCCAGTGATCACTGTCTAGCCTCCTGGAGGTGTCGTGGGACCAACTAGACGAAACACTGGTGAAAGGAGGTTCCCACCTGATGACCCCAAAGACATGTTAGTTATCACTGCTCATAAGTCTGTATAGCTAAATTAATACTTATCATAGGACGTTGTTAAGCTTAGGGAGCTATTCACTGAGTCTGGTCCATTTTCTGTAGCACAAGTTTCTTGTGTTTACCTTAAATAGTGTTGATAGTAAATGCCAACTGCTGTGGGTCCTTGAGAAAAACTAAAATGTCATCAGCGTAGAGTGCCAAATGGTGCTGTGTGTCACGGATATCGGGCAAAAAAATTAATAATCTTTGGCCAATGGGTTGGTCAGTCACCACAGATCAGCAAATCCCAAGGCATGCCTGTAGAGCAGACGATGCCCGTTTTTGGTCTCTTGTCTCAGATTTTCCTGTCCCATCATCAGCTGAGTTCCAAACCTCATTAAGGTCTCTACCTACTATAAATGAGTATTCACTTAGATCCAGCCTCACATTTGTCAGATTGCTGTAAAAACTGCACACACAAAGGTGATTTTCCTGCCATTAATTTCCGCTTTGAGTATAATCAGCCTAGCTGCTTTATCTGACCATGTACCCAGGAACCTAATTTTCCTGGCTACACCATTGGTATAAGGGCAGCATGAAGGAGATGCTACGATCAGCAAGGCGTCTGACATCCTTGGAAAAAAGATGTGTCTCCTGTGATAATGCAATGCCAATTTTCTTCCTGCGTAATAATCCTAGTTTACTAGTCCTTTTGTGTGGGATATTCAGACCACCTGAATTCCAGCTCAAAATATTGAGTTCATTCATAAATTCCAAGCACTGGTTCAAAGGTGAAGGTCAACAAAGTATAACACCTATGACCATCAGGCAACATGACCCGATGCACACAATCATCACAATCCAGGTCCCGCCATTGGTGAAAGAAACATACAGTACTCAACCTGTAACCAGCTCCACAAAATAATACTACTGGAAAAGAAAAAGAAAAAGAAATTATAAAAATATATCTCCTCGTCCCTCCACCCACATCGCCCAACCAAAAGAGCTAGAACAAGCTTTGACCACTAAACCAACCCACATACTTCGTTCCGTGACCGTAGAAGGAAATGGGCAACAATAGGTCTGTCGTCCGCCCATCACATCCCCTCAAATGAAATTACAAAGCAAAACAATTCAGAACAGCCATCCCACTGAGTTTGACAGATGCACTAATCATATAGCGAGAGGTTACCAAAAGGCAAGAGCAGAAAAATATAAAACGAAATAAGTTGCCAATGATAAATATGAAACCAAAATCATCCCAGCCACAGCGCTACTCCCATCAGATCAGCATCAGTTCCTTCATATTTTGCAATGGAAGCTGCACCAGTAATATAATAAGGCTCTGGCAACTTGAATGGGAAAATGTGCATAAAGCAAAACTAAAAACATGCCATCCCACTATTTAAGAGTCTACTAAATTTACATTGTAACTGAAAATTGCCATATGCCGCATCTACAATAAAACAAAATTTTTTGTAATGGTGTTGGTGCAACGCCTAACCTTCCATGAATTTAGGTGAGTCTGCAGCAACGCAGGTCTGAGACATGAAACGTGAGATGTGCTAAGAGCGTAACCCCGTTGTGGTTAACTTATTATTTAGCATTCTTTGGGCCACCATAATATCAGCAGGCACATAAGGAAATTGGAGGAGAGTGCCGTTGCACCACTGCTCAACACGAAACTAGAGAAAAGGAATGCACTGCTGGCTGGTGTGTGACACGCTGCCTGCCTGAACAGTTGTCTCAGCACCACAATAGTTGGCCCACGAACTAAATGAGCATGTAAATTATACAATGTACGTCCATTCAAAACATTCAACCCACTGTTTGTAGGGCTGCCACAATTAGTTGCCATAATCAATGACGTCGACTATGAAAATGCGTTAACGTCAATATTTTAACGTCCACAAAATCGTTTCCCATACATTGATTTATTTGTGGCAGCCATTCACTATTAACCACCATATATTTCTGTTCTAATCATCTATGGTCGCACTGCTTCTCTGTCCTCTACCCTGCTCTCTCTGCTCTCCGGTAGCTCTGTGTGCTCTGTGTGCTCTGTGTGCATTTATTGTTTGGTGAATAGTTCGGCTTTTCTCTGTTGCCAAGTAGCCCAGTGTTGCCAAACACCTAATTTTCTTACTGATCAGGTTGTTTCAGTTGGTAGGAGATGTTATTTAATCCCTCAAAAACTCCACAACGATCATTATTCCCTTGTGATTGAGTCATATCTTTTAAGTAATTCAGATGATTACTTTGATTCTTTGTGATTTGGTCTTAGTGAGTTAGGAGTCCTCTCCACCGCTTCTAACTTCTCCCAGACCTATGTGCTACTTTTAGTGTTAAGTGGCTTTGTGAATTACTCTTAGTTAAAAGTTAGGACTGACACGCCCATTATTTTTAGGGGTTTCTCCTAAATCAGCAAGTTAGAAGCCACTTTTAGTTTTAAGATGTTTTGTGAATACGGGCCCAAAACTACATTTTATGTTCTGTTGTTGTTTCCAGTTTAATTTTTCTGGGAAATGGCACATACTCACTGACTAACATACCTATGTGAATACATTTTTAAAATGATGTGATGTTGAGTTTTTACACAATACACAATACTTTTTTTGACCTTTTTGAATCTGATCCCCCTAATAATAATAAAAATAATAATAACTTTTTATAGCACCTTTCAAGGTAGTAAGAAACACAAAGTAAAAAAATAAAACTAATAAATGAAAACAAGATGAGACAGAATAAGGAAGGCAATAATTGTAGGAGATGAGTGAGCGTGAAGCCATAGGCCTTGGTGAACAGGTGGGTTTTCAGCAGTTTTTTGTAAATGTCCAGATATGAGGCTGCGCGAAACTCTTCCAGGAGACAGTTCCAGAGGGTGGGGGCTGCCACACTGAGTGCTTGGGGGGATTCGTAGGTGAGGGAAAGGATTTTGTAATGAATGCGGGATTTGACCGGAAGCCAGTGAAGTTGGATGAGGATGGGGGTAATGTGCTGCCAGGGCTTGGTGCGGGCTTGGTGCTAACCCAAACCCTGGCAGCTGAGTTCTGGTCATACTGGAGCCTGTCCAGGGTTTTGCTGGGAACCCCGAACAGGACTTCATTGCAGTAATCCAGAAGGGTGGTGATGAAGGTGTGGATGAGGGTCTCTGCTACAGAGTCAGAAGCCGTGTTTTGACCAAAAAGTACCTGGAACTTTAAGTTTGAAATACACGACGATCCCGTATTATACGTGACGTAACCCTAGCCACTCCGGTTGTTGTGGTCCTTTATTTGTTTCAGTCTTTTTACCTTCTTCTGGACTTGTTTCGCGCTGTGGAAAATGTGTTTGCTCCCTCGGTGCCTGCTCACTCGCTCACTGCGGACTTTTAAACATCGCGGGTGAAATAAAATGCAGCGAGTACTGACCAGTCATAAATGCAGCACTGAAGACCACGCATTCCAAAGTTCTAAATTTAGACCCTGGTTCCTGCAGTGGAAATGCACATAGTTCCTCAAAAGGTTCCTGGTTCCCGGGGAAAGTTCCTGCAGTGGAAACTTGGCTAGAGAGAATAGATAGAGATGGAGATACCTCATATTACACAAAAACTAAAGTTGGGAGTAATAAAAATTAAACAAATTGAGCATTCTCAAAGAATAAAAAACTGAGTGAAACAAACAAACCTGCTTTGAGTTTAAAACTAAAGCGAAATTGAAAACAAAAAGTCAAAACAAAATAAAAACAACAACTAATAAGGGCACCTCGGTTGCTTACCTGGTAGAGTGTGTACCATTAGGACTCGGCTGTGCACTGACTACGATGCACTACAGATACAGTACTTTAATAGTATTTTTGTTATTTTATTTTGTAATAGAAAAAAGCAATTAAGAAAATTATATTGTTATGTACTCAATTAACATTCTCGAGTAACAATCTTGTTAAAACAGCATTGTTATTAACAAATCACTATTATAGACTGATTTTGTAATGATGAAAATGTAAAACTATTGTAATACACAATGATTTACCACGGGACTTTTTGGCAGTATTTTTACTGTGCAGCAGTTTCACCAGCACCACCCCAAAATGTGTGAGAGAACTTTTATGTTACAATAACAAACAGGAAATCTATTTTCTTCATTTCTCCAGTACTGAGAGCAGAGCCAATAACACCAGAGCTTAACGATTCTACGGTCTTTAAAAATTTAGCCACGGGGCCCATTTAATACCAGTTTCGGTACCGATCCCTAATTATATCTAAATGCGGGACTGTTCTGATTATCAGAATAATCTTGCAGGTCAGATGTTATTGTTAGTGAACCACTTGCCAACCACTGATCTATTTATTCTCTAAACCAGCGACCACGTGGTGGACACACATATGCATAAGATTCCCACCTAAGCCCAAACCCAGAAAGGTAACCACTAAACCAGACCTGATGAGACCTGTATTCTCATTCACTGAAAGGTGGATGTAAAAGTTTCTCCATCAGGGCTGTTACCTTCTCATCAGGCCCGTTACCTCGATTACAGCTGTTACCTCCATCATCAGGCCTGTTACCTCCATCATCAGGCCTGTTACCTTCATGAGGTCTGTTACCTCCATCAGGGCTGTTAACTCCATCATCAGGTCTTTCACCTCATTCAGGGCTGTTACCTTCCTCTCACTGTTACTGTTGTTTTGAAGCCACTTCCTCTCTTACAGACCATATGTCAAGAGGTCATCTTCCCCCTCATGTGTTACAAAGACGAGGATGAGAAGCTGTGGCAGGAAGACCCCTATGAGTACATCCGCATGAAGTTTAGTGAGTATTCAAAGTCCCTGCTGTAATAATATGCTGTACCTTTAAACTGACCTGACTTCATTAATCCAACCCATGTTTCTCGGCCAACATTATATCTGCTCCAGAGTCTTTGTAGTGTCTTGTGACTTGTGTCTTGTGACTGTATTTCATCTCCATGATAATAGAGACAGTCATCTACTGTAAATTGTTAGAGAACAGGAAAACTCACAGAAAGTGAATAGGCTTTAGTTCCTGATGTACACTCTGTAGTAGTGACCCCTCAGCTCCATTATTGCCACTATATTGGTGGAGGAAGGAAGTCCACTATGTTTTTGAACATGTAGTGTGATCCCACTCAGTGTGTGTTTATCTCTGTCGTAGACCTCTATGACGACCACGCCCTCCCAGCCACAGCTGCTCAGAGCCTCCTGTGTAAAGCTTCCCGCAAAAGGAAGGAGGTGAGGAACAGAGCACATTCTCTCAACTGCAGTACTTAAGACACAGTCTGTAGGCAGTGTATCCATTTTATGACACTTTTACTTCTCTCCACTACATTTGTCTGAAGAATGTGGGTCACTGGCCACTGGTGCAAAGATTTAACTCAGTGCTTTTTTTTCACATCTCCGTCACTTTTAATGGTTCTTGTGCCATGTTTTGTTTTAAGCTGACACTGATCATTTCTGTTGCTACCATCAAATTAATATGAAAGGCTGTTATGATGAAGCCACAGAGATTTTTCACCAGCTCTGCATTTCCTCTCACTTCTGCTGAGCTGACTCTCTATCAACCTCTGCTTCCAACAGGAAGCTGTGTTTACTGATAAACCCACTGAATGCTCTCTAAGATTAACACAGCAGCAAACAGCAAACAAAGTTAATGATGGGGACCAGCTGGTGAGCTAGATTTCACTCAGGAGGTAATGAGACCAAAACAGACCTGAAGGTGGACTCTATAAATATGACTTCAAATGATTTTGTTGCTCTGTTTCCTGTGTAAATATGATTGGTGGATTACCTTTAACCAGTGTTTTCCAGGTGCTACCTTTTTCAAAGAGAAAGACAGGTGGGCACCCAGTAAAACAGCATTGTCACCATGGCAACCTCTGAGTGCAGGGAGGGGATACACAGCTTAGTCAAATTACCTGATTAGAGACTCCTCTGATATGTGTGGTGTTTATCAACCACTTTACTGACATTTCTATCAAAATCCAGCTACAGACTCCTCCAACACTAAATACAGAAAAAAATTTACACACTTCTAAACTGTTTTCACTGGAAATATGTTTCAGTCCAGTTGTAATCAGGAAGCATTCAGCAGTTAATTTCAATTTGTCATTCTAACTGACACATAAATACAGACAACCAGAGAGGCACTCAGACAGATAAAAGGCACACAAACAATCACAAACAGACACGCACATAAAGAGATACATGCGCGCAGTTCTTGGCATCTAACTTTTCAAAGCACTGTTCATCAGTTAATATGACCTGCTTTTTCAACTATTTTAGCATTGTGTCAGTAATCTCCTTCAGGTATGACATTACAAGTTTTGATTGTACATTTCTTCTTTCTTAGTTTTTTTTAAATTTTCAACCAATTTAGGCCATTTGGCTTTCAACTAACCTGTTTTTTACATGTTGTATATTTTGTACAGTTTTGTGCTGTTTGTTACACCTTAAATTAACTTGAAATATTAAGCTTTTTATGAATAATTTTTACCATTCAGTTGAATTGAGACCATTGAGTACTCAACCATTTCCAAGCATTAAAAACTTCTCTCATAAAAGTTAGATCCCAATTTTGATATACTATATCTTCATTATCAATTAAATATTTCCGGACCAGATCTATCTTATCTTTCTAAAAACTTCCCTGGAACGGATATCTGCCATCCGTCCAATTATCCAAACTAGTCTAAAACGGTTCAACATAATATAAGGCAATTCTGTTCTGAATCCATTCGCGTGGAGCCATTTCGTCAGCTGGCTTGTTCGCTACATTTTTTAAATGTGAGTCAGTTTTTAATAATTCCAAAACAATTTTCCTTTCCTTTCGTGGTAAATCATGTTCAGATTTTCTTTTAAGTATCATATTTTGGCACAATGGTTTACTAGTCTGTTGACCCATGATCTACTTTGCATGCATATGTATCAAAATAAGCAAATTTACAGCAATATATACATAGGCCTATAAATGCACAAATTGAAGGTCTGTCAGATGGTCTGATAATAAATAATTAATTTGGTTCATTGCATGTACACCCAAAGCATACGGTTGCTCGAGACTTACACCGTCATATGATCTGACAATGCTCACTTTAAGATGAAAGGAGATTCTTACCTTGTCTTTTAATAAGCTGCAGGTCTCATGGTCAACCCTTTTTTCAAAATTCTTGACGCACGCTTTTCGCATTTCATTTTTAAATATATTTTGGCTTGGTCTCACGTCCCCTATTTTAGTGAGCGGTCTTGATATACCACCTAAAGCTTATGTGTATCTCACGTTATGGCTGGCAAAGGAATCTTGACATACACCACCTATTGTTGCCTGTACATCTCACGTTCCCTATTTTAGTGAATGGTCTTGACACGCCACCTAAAGCTTATGTGTATCTCACGTTATTGCTGGCAAACGAATCTTGACATACACCACCTATTGTTGCCTGTGCATCTCATGTTCCCTATTTTAGCGAGCGGTCTCGACACACAACCTAAAACTTATGTGTATCTCAAGTTATTGCTGGCAAACGAATCTTGACATACACCACCTATTGTTGGCTGTATGTCTCACGTTCCCTATTTTGGCGGACGAATCTTGACACGACCTTACTTTATTTATTTTATATTTCTTCTATCTTTTTTGTTTAACGTACTTGTAAACCTAATTTATGTTGGCCAACATTCATTGGTTGGTTTGGGTACAAATGCAACAATGCTCCCCATTAGTAACTCATTAAATTTCATTCAATGGTTGGTTTGGGTGCAAATGCAACAATGCTCCCCATTAGTAACTCATTAAATTTCATTCAATTTAGTTTCCATAATCCAATTGTAATTCATAAAATACTTCTTTGTGCATCTTTTCCTTAAATCACATCTAATTCTTCACAGAGAGTGCAACAATGAGAAAAACTTCATAAGTCAATAAAGAAATAAAATTTTGCTCACCTGTTTGCTGACTCCGCCGCTGTTTTGTGACGCCAACTGAAAAGATTATTTCTTGGGCCCGAGAGATGGAAAAGTGTACCAATCAGACCAACAAGTTAACACTTCAATTTGGCTGGTTTATTCGTGCACGAAGGACAGATCTTATGTAGGATACACCAAGTCTCTCACTGAATAACAGAACTTCAGCTGCTTACATTGTATATCTTAACATCCTTAAACCAAAGTTACCAACATGCAAAACAAATACAACCTTACACAGACAGAGCAGCAATATACTCTACCAATAACAGAAACTGACATGGGACACCACACTGATATCAGCAGGTTAGCACATCAACACGTGAACGGTGCCACTACTATTAGTGAAAAGACATCGGTAGAAGTAAATCACTGTAAAAATGTTCTCAGATAAAAGAACAAAGTATGTCAGTTAAAATGTTATGGTAGTAAAAGAGTTATCACGTTCCATTTGAAAATGGGGAGGGAGGGGTAAAACATGTTATAGGGTGATAATAATGATATTTATATTATCATTTATTTATATTAAAACTCAAATTAAAGAACATCTTTATTTTACCAGATGTATCAGTTCAGTATATATGTGTAATCACATCAACATTGAAACTTTGTTTATGAGGACTTGGAAATGTATTTATGTAAATTTTGAAGTCATTCAGGTGAGTCACTCAGATACACCTGTACAATGAGCCATATTTTTCCTGCATTAGCCTTTTCTACATGTTATCTCTGTGCTCTTCTCTTGGCAGGTTCTTCCTCAGATGATGGAGTTCTGCCACCAGATGCTGATGGACCCCTCTGCTGACCCCCGCAGGAAGGACGGAGCACTGCACTGTATTGGTGCTCTGGCTGAGCTTCTACTGAGGGTACATACATCCACACATACACCTCTGTGTTACTGGGCCCTCTCCCTGCCCTCATGTGTTTTAAACACATCTGTTCTCTGTGTAATTCTGCAGAAGAGAATGTACAGAGAGCAGATGGAGCTGATGCTGCAGAACTATGTCTTCCCTTTGCTCAACTCTCCTATGGGTTACCTGCGAGCCAGAGTGAGTGAACCCCCCAGCCCTTCTTCACAGGGTTAATTGTTCTGTTGTAGAGTATGTCATTGAGAAAAGGCTCTATATGTTTCGTCTATATGTTGTGTAGGTCAGAGTATCTGTTCATACTGTAGGTATTGTCTCGTATTGGACATTGAATCCTTTGGTTGCTGACATACTGTGAAGTGGATATAAATGTAATATTAAAACACTACAGAGGTCTGACTTCTGAATTACCCACAGTAAGTTAGTGAATTTCAGCTCTGAATTTGATTTAATAACTGTAACAAATTATTATTTTTTTCATTCTAATTGTAAGTGATTCATGTCATTTATTTCAAGATCTTGTGATTTCAAGATCCTGTTACACCTCAGCTGACAGTCAAACTTCTTTCTGTGGACATTCACCTGCTTTTAATGGATTAGTCATCGACTGACATCTCAGGTGGTGTAATCTCATACTCATAGCTGACACTTCAACTCATTTAAGTGCTGTCACTTCATCTCCAATGTAATATCTCACATTCAAACAATTGATATTGTTTTGGACTGAGGGGTTTGACATGTAACAATGGTTCTCTGGACAGGAATTGAACCCTGGATCTTGCAGCTTTGTGTACTGCGCTCTAAACAAGAGGCTACCAGATATTTGAAAGGACCAGTGTGTAGGATTTAGGGGGTCTATTGGCAGAGATGGATTATAATGTTCAGAATTATGTTTTCATTAGTGTATCAACACCTGTGTTTAGTTTACATTGAGCCTTTCATATCTGCAGAAGGAGTGGGTCCTCTTCCTTGGACCATGCTTCTACAGTAGTCCAGGATGGACAAACCAGACATTGGCTTTACAGCCACACACACCGTGTTTTATGTTACCTTTAGGTTCACATAACTCTTGGAAAGGTAAGGGTATTCACCTGTAGCAATCTGCGACATCACCACTAGATGCCACTAACTACACACTGGTCCTTTTAGATATTGTGTTGGCACATTTACATTATCTTCAGGAAATGTTTCCTTTTTCTAATTGTTTTATATTTTGTTGTTTTATGAGCTTTTTTGAATGAAGATGTTTGGAAAGATATTAAAGCTTTATAGAAAATAAGTTAGACATGAGAATAAGGGACTGTTAGATGTGTGTTCACTAGAGAAAGAACTACTGCAGGAAGAGTAAAGAGTCGTGAATCTGAGCCAGGTAATTTCCATACACAGGCAAATTACACTTGTCAGTTATACGTGACATTAGCTACTGCTTCAGTAATGTCAGCAGATGGCACCACAGTGCTGCTGGAGAAATTATATTCTGATTGTCAGAGAGCAGCAGACACATGGTCTTGTTGTCCACCTCAGTGGGCTCTGAAGTGCTGCCATGAGTCCTTGGTGCACTGCTTGGTCAAATGTGTGTTAACATTTTCAGCACCCTCATTTGTTTAATTTTGGTCACAAGATAAAGTTATTTAATTACTGTCCCTTTAGCTCTCCTCCCTGCAGTCCAGTTGGGCGTTCCATTCAGTCCATGTGAGTCAGTCCCGTCTGACACATCTGGTGCAGCAGCAGTGGACACTGTGGTGGTGGTGGTTTCAGAGGTCTAGGAACACTGTGGAGATGTGTTTGTCTGCTGTATATTGACCTGCTGCTCTCTGCTGTGTTGGGCAGTCATGCTGGGTGCTCCACTGCTTCAGTCCACTGCGTTTCCATGATGAGCTGGTGCTGAGGAACGCTGTCGAGTTGGTCAAACAGGATCTAATCGAGGACAAAGAGATGCCCGTCAAGGTGGAGGCCTCCATAGCTCTGCAGACGCTGGTCAGCAACCAGGAACAAGGTCTGTGGACAAATAAGGATGTTACTTTAGTGTTTGGAAGTTGATATATCAAACACTTCAATCGGCTGATACTAGAGGAGGATTCTCAGTAGCAAAATAAAGTGTATTAAATACATATGTAAACATCTGGGCTACCAGTAACATTTTGACATTGAAAAAAAAATTTGGCATTGAAGACAAGACCTGAACTGGAAAAGGAAACAATGGCAATGAAAAGTTGTATTGGAAAAAGTTGTATTGGCACTGATGTGAATATTGGCACTGAAAAAGGGTCCACTGAAAACACCAGCATTAAAAAACTACAACCTTACAATATTATCTTATTTAATGTTGATATTTTTGTGTTATGTTTTTCAATGTTGATCTTCGGATCTTTTTCGTCATGTCTGTCTTGTATGTAACAATTTTTCAGTGTCACTGGTTTTCAGTTTCAACTTTCTGTCACCGTTTTAGTAGAGTGGGGGGGCTTGAGGGAAAGCGCAAGGAGCGCTTGATTAACTTACACTCAGACCTGAGACCTAAAAAAAAAAATAGCTACATACGTGACAGACATGAAGAAAAAATCTGGAGATTGACATTAATATACATCATGATACCAAAAATATAAAAATTAAATAATATAAATATTGTAAGATTGTAGTTTTTTGCATGCTATTTATTTATTTTTCAGTGCCAATATTTATTTCAGTGCCAATACAGTTTTTTCCAGTTCAAGTTTTGTTTTTAATGTCAAAATTTATTTTCAATGTCAAAATGTTACTTTCGCTTTTCTAGCCCCATAACTAAGGATCAGTCTCAGTTACATTTCGTTAGTAGTCACTTTCACATAGTTCTGATGCCATTTTTCTCACCATCACAATTCTACTTATACTTACTATACACAGTATATGTAAGTATGTGTGTGTATATATGCACTGTATGTACGTATATATACTGTATATTATATATACACGCAGTGCCTTTCAAGACACCCAAAATACCTGTTGTGTTTCATATTCAAAGTTTTCAGTCAAGTCGACAAACTTACTGTAATTTGGATGTTGGGCCACATTGAGAGAAGCACATATACATGGCATTCCTTTGTTTGTAATATCTCAGCCTTGTAAACTGTGAAAGCCTTTCCTGTCAGACAGGTGGTGTTTGCTGTTTTCAACACAAGGTCACTGATGATTCCTTGTCTGAATTGTCCTCATCAGAAGTTTGGAACTGTAGTGGCACAGGAGAGTCTGAGTGATCTTTGTTATAAAGTGAATCAATAGTTTCATCAAAGTGAGAGTACTACACAGGGAGATGACATCCCTCACAGATATGTCTACATCCCTTATGTAGTTGAGGGGCATCACAATTAATCGATCAGTCAGCCTTAGTTTTTTTATCTGTATATATTTTACGTGTATTGTGATAGAGAATTTTACACACGTGCCTTGTGTTGATGTTCGTGTAGCCAAGCTGTACATCAGGCCATACATCCGGCCAGTCATGCAGGAGCTGCTGCATGTGGTGAAAGAGACGGAGAATGATGATTTGACCAATGTCATTCAGAAGATGATCTGTGAGTACAACCACGAGGTGGCTGCCATCGCTGTGGACATGACGCAGAACCTGGTAGGAAAACAAGACAAATTTCTTATGTTTTCATGGGTGACAAGGCCTTTAGTGCAGAAGATGTGATGTAATGCTGTTCTGAAGCGTGTGTAACATCTGAGTGTGTGTGTGACAGGCGGATATCTTCACCAGGGTCCTGCAGAGTGAGGAGTATGAGGAGAACGAGGACAAGACTGTCATGGCTCTTGGCATCCTGAGCACCATCGACACCATCCTCACTGTCATGGAGGACCATAAGGAGGTCTCTCATTCACACACACACACACACACACACGCACACACTTCAGAAAATAACAAAAATCTTTCACAGTGTTCATATTTGTTTCAGATCACGCAGCAGCTGGAGGGGATCTGTTTGCAGGTGATCGGCCTGGTCTTGCAGAAGCCCATCATAGGTATGGCAGGTGTGTGTGTGCAGGCTCTCCAGTGCTTTTACATGAACACACACACACACGCACTCTCCTTCAGATCCCTGAGGTATTAACAGTTTGCTCCTTGCACTTCATCTTGAAAATGTGGAACTGGTAATTGTTTAATCACAGGTTTGCTTCATGAATTAATTTGCTCCTTGCCACACAGCTGTCGATGGTTTGGTTACTACTCACTGGTAGTAAGATAAAATACCTACTGACATAGAGGAGACTCTCTAGGGACTGCTACTGAGTGCAAAGCAATGGTCATGTGACAGACGGCAGGTTAGCTTATCAACCTGCTGTGTTTCTGTGGACTTTTATTTCTATTTATTTAAGTTTCCAGAGAGTCAGACCTGCTGCCACAGTAGATAGCTGTGCTCACGGAAGAGCCTGATAAAGCAGCAGGAGAAGGTCATAATAATCCAAATTAAACGACAGAGGTCAAGGTCATATTTTCAACAGTAGATGTGGTCTGTGACAGTCTTGTGTCAAGATTTTTCATGTGAAGTGGTGCAGACATGATTCATGACTCCAGCTGTGTTTTGTGTGTATGTTATGTGTTTTAAATGAGGATAGGTATCAGTGCTGATGTTAACTGCATTCAGAAGACTGGGTGTTAGCAGGGATGAAGACTGAATTTTGTGCACCATAGCAACCCCTTGTGTATAATGTTGCCTTGTTTATCAGCGTGGGCTGGTTGTTATCATTCTATCACTGATTATTCTGTCTCACACACAGAGCTCCCATTTTGTTTTTACAGAGAGCCAGTATCACTAAATGATTAGTAACTCATAGCCTCTGCTTTTAGTTAACAAGTGATGTACAGTTATGTGCTTATGTTTCCTTACACATAGAGGAATGATCCCAAACAGTTTATACACTGATGGTTACAAACTGTGAATTGGGGAAAGAAAAAGGTTCTGGATCTGTACTTCGCATTGGAATCAGTATTAAGTTCATCCCTTATTCATCTCAGTAACTGTCATATTTCTGTCCCCTTTCTTTTTCCTGTAACTGTATCCGACTCTAGGTGGAGTCATACAGAATTTATCTAACAATCCTTTTTCATCCTCTCTGCAGAATTTTATGAGGAGATCCTGTCGCTAGCGTTCGGCCTTACCTGTCAGACCATCTCCCCCCAGATGTGGCAGCTGCTGGGCGTCCTGTACGAGGTCTTCCAGCACGACTGCTTCGATTACTTCACAGGTACCTCACACACCAAGTTCTGATATTGTACACAGAATCTGAGTCAGTGTCATAATCACTGATGCCAAATACTGGCTCTTCTGGTTTGGATACTTATGTCACTTTGTATTTGTAAAGTCAGGCCAAAATGTCCGAACTAGTTACTAAAAGTGTGATAATGAGTCCTATTTATTAACACTGCAGTAGGGACCTTTGTGTTTATGGAACTGAGGTACCCTCCATCTTTAACAGCTGTAGTTATAAAATCTAATCAGCTCCTAGTTTTTACAGATATCTGATGATCTTGATAGAATTAAAGCTGTATTCATGAGTGACAATGATACACAGGGAATTGTAACTCATACTGAGACACTGAACTTACTGCTCACCAAAAAACAACTTAAGCACCATTGTTTTTCTAAATGATGTTTCAGTTTTGTTTCTGTAGCTCTACAGGAAATGTTACTGCTTGCATGTTGATACACTGACCCAGAAAAATGTTAGCAATATGTGTTTGTGTTACAGATATGATGCCTCTTCTGCACAACTACGTTACAGTGGATACAGACATGCTCTTGTCCAACCCAAAGCACCTAGAGGTCATCTACAGCATGTGCAAAAAGGTCAGACTGCTGCTCATACTTGCACAAAATCTGAACAAAGTTTCTTTAGCATTGCTGCTGAGCCTTGACTGGTCGACTGTTTCCTGACCTTTGACCTGTGGTAGGTGCTGACCATAGATGCAGGTGAGGACGCAGAGTGTCATGCTGCCAAACTGTTGGAGGTCATCATCCTGCAGTGCAGAGGCAGAGGCATTGACCAGGTCAGACACAGCCCTGGATCAGTCTCCAGAGTGACTGACACTCACTTTGAATCATCTATCATACATTTAGCACAACAGTTCTTTTCTGTCTGATGACACCACCCATCATGTTCCAGATGTTTTCATTCAGATTCATTACTTCTTGAAATGCTATTATTATTATTAATTTATTATTATTATTATTTTTAAATCCTGAGCACTGGCTCTGGATCGTCTTGAAACTGCTTTTTATTATTAGGGCTGAAGAAAAAACTATTGAGTAAATATGCAACACAATGTACAAACACTGTGAGAACAAGAGCATATCTTGTTCCATTCTCAAAAATGACTTAAAATATTATAGTATGTGCTATCAGCAAGAGGATGTTGATGTCTAATAGCTAGCAGTTGGGAAGCCTCGCCTGACAAAGACTCTTTACTCATTCCATTAAGTTTTTATTTTCATGTGTTCTTAAATGATATGAAAATGAAACATTTCATCACAAATCCTTTCTAATTAAACTAAAGCTGCAGTGACTGGAATCAGATTGTTAAATCTCTAATCTGACTGTGTGACAATACATGAATTTGAGTCTGTTGGATATGACTGACTCAAAATATTTTGACTGCACAGTGTGAACTATAACAAAGCAGATATAGAACAGGAAGGTAAACTTTTCTACATAAGTGAAATAAAGGATTAACAGCAGATTTCTCTGTGTTTCCTTGCTGCAGTGCATACCTCTGTTTGTGGAGGCAGTGCTGGAGCGTTTGATGAGGGGGGTGAAGTCCAGCGAGCTGAGAACCATGTGTCTGCAGGTGGCCATCGCTGCTCTGTACTACAACCCAGTCCTGCTCATCCACACTCTGGACAACATGCACTTTCCACACAACCCGCAGCCCATTACTGCCCACTTCATCAACCAGTGGATAAATGACACAGAGTTCTTCCTTGGGTGAGGAGTCCCCATGATGTTTTTAACTGTTCCGGTTAGATAATCAGATGTTTAGGGTTTTTACTGTGAAACCCGAGAAGTTGAGGTACTGAGGACACAGAGGGAGAGATGTGAGGCAAAACAGACAGTAGCTGCTGGTGTTGTAAAAACAACAAGAAGTTGGATACTGTAGTTTTTCCCTCTTATCAACACACATAGTGGAGGACGCAGTTAATGTACTTTAAAAGCTTCATAAATCAGTAAGATCTGATTCTGACTTAAAGCTCAGAGGGAGATTGGCTATACTTTCTCTACATCTACTGTCTGTACTCTCTGTACATATACTGGCCCTCTCTATATCTACTGTCTCTACTCTTTTCATCTACTGTCTGTACTCTCTCTATGTCTATTCTCTGTACTCTATGTACATCTACTATCTATACCCGGGGTTGGCAATCCGCAGCTCTGGAGCCGTATGCGGCTCTTCCGCCCTTCTGCAGTGGCTCCCTGTAGCTTTGAAAAAAATAAAATAATATGAAAATAAATAACTGCTATTTTTTATTTTATTTTTATTTTTTCTTTTAAAGAGAACACCTCATATTTTGGAGATAGAGGTGATACTGATAATATTTCGTCGACTAAAATATACGTCACATCTTACAACGTTTCCATAGCAACGTTTACAGCCTACCGCCTCTTCCTGCCGCCGATAGGTGGCTAATCTTGAGTTTCAGACCCCTGGGAAGCAAACCATGGATAGATCCAAAAAAAGATATGTTTTTTTTTTAAGCCTCCACAAATAAGAGAAAGACTCATATAGGCCTGCATAGTTCTGTGCTTTATTTAAAAGTAGGCATACAGATGCCAGTGTTTTTTTCTCCTATTCATAAGAGTTTGGTGTTTTCTTTTGTTATAACAGGTAAAAACAGCAATAAAATGTCATCAGTTTTTTTGTAGTTCTATAATTTCATAAATGAAATAAACTGTAGTTATTTTATATGTAGTATAACAATATATAAAACAGTAACGCTGTGTTATCTTCATTTTAAGGGTCAAATAGGTTTTGCGGCTTCAGATGATTTTTATTTGTGGGAGAGGGGCCAAAAATGGCTCTTTTAATAGTAAAGGTTGCAGACCCCTGGTCTATACTCTTTACATTTACTGTCTGTACTCTCTGTACATCCACTGTCTTTACACTGTGTACATCTACAGTCTGTACTCTCTGTACATCTACTGTCTATACTCTATCTACATCTACTATCTGTACTCTATGTATATCTATTTTCTGTACTCTGTACATCTACTGTCTATACTCTCTCTACATATACTGTCTCCACTCTCTTTACATCTACTGTCTGTACTCTATGTACACCTACTGTCTCTACTCTCTGTACATGTACTGTCTCTATGTACATTTACTGTCTATACTCTCTCTACAACTACTGTCTGTACCCTCTCTACATCTACTGTCTTTACTCTCTATAAATCTACTGTCTGTACACTGTGTACATCTACTGTCTGTACTTTTTGTACATCTACTATCTGTACACTGTGTATATCTGCTATTTGTATTCTCTGTTGTTGGGTCTGTGCTTTGCACATATGTTGGGCTTTTGGTTGTTTATCAGTTTATTGGCTATCATAAATTAAGAAATATTAATATGAAACATATTAATTTTAAATAATAACTTTAAAATGAATTAAAGTCATCTGGGGCACCAGCCAGAAACATAGGCTAAATAGTCAGTATTGGTTCAGTCCCAAATTATTACTGTTAATCTGGAACTTGATTATGATGATTAACAATTAACTTAATAACTATAACCAAATTACCATATCAACAGTTAGGGTTAGTTGAAGTCAAAGATGAAGGACTAAAGTTCTACTGAGTAGTGGTTGGCAATACTCATATTTGTGCAACATTAAACACACCAGTAGTTATAATTTAAGTAAAAACATACAATGTCTAAAGTATATACTGTGTGTGCGTGTGTGTGGGTGTGTGTGTGTGTGTGTGTGTGTGGGGGGGGGGGTATCTCTGTGGGGATACAGACAAAGGCAAGATGGCCGATTCAAAATGGTCATTGTGACCACATCGCCTGAATAAAGCAGACTACACAAGATGGCAGTAGACGGTGAGGGGGAGGGAAGGTGTGAGTTTCTTTGTTAGTCTAGCTCATCTTGTCTGAAAGGTACCAGGGTAGAGGGAGAAGGTTAGCTGCATGCAGGTGTAGCGTGAATACCACAATTTAAAATTTGCTTTCGTTAAAGAAAGGGGCACCAGTCCTCAGGGAGGACAATTTGATTAAAAGTATGGATAAATTTTTTTGATCAATCTCACATCCAAAGTTGTGATTTCTCGATTACAGTGATCTCCGATCTTCACTTCAAAGAAACACAGGGCAACGACTGGGTCACGTTGATAATATTTATTGACTAACTAAACACAGGAGGAGTACAATGCACAATGATAATGAACATGAATCTATGACTAACGATCCCTATTTCTACCAGTGAAATCTAGCAGTAATCTTGGGCGATGGGGGAAGAGAATGAATTTGACTATGTGTATAGTATTTATTCTTAATGGAAGGAAATTATAAGGTCGGAACTAGTATTATTCCGACATCAACCCAGTTTGGAGCAAAGGATGGAGTTGCCTACTTTGAGTTGCGGCGCGCTGTTGAGATCTTGGCTGGAGCCTAGGAGTTAGGTTGCCAGGCGACGGGGATGCCACGCTCCAAGTGGGTTCTCTCAGAGATGACGACCGTTACCAGGGGTGACGGGCTCTGCCGATGTCTCGGTGGGTCAGCGTCGGCGCAGTCTGCCAGCAGACTTTCTTCCGTAGGCACTCTCGAGATCTGGTCAGCCGGTCCTGGTAAGGCGTGTAGCCGGAGGGCCGGAGGTTGACGGCGGAATAAGCGCTAGTATTTAATTTACTTTGCCAGATAATTGGTGTTGGCCAAACGACACAAAACCTTCAAAATCTTCTAGACAAAAGCTGAATTTGTCAAAAAGGAAAACAACAACATTCCTTATACACACCTGTGTGTGATTCAATTTGGAAGGCTTGGCTTGCTTAAGTAATAAAGACAAAAACCAAAGTAACAAAGTAAAGTTTAGACTAGAAACAAATGTGAGCTAGTGCACAAATGAGCGACAAGAATGTAAGAGACGAGAGGCGCGTGCACTGGAGGATCCAGCTGTTTTATCCTCGGGGTGTGTTCAGTTCAATGACATTTTAATCATGCTTTACAAATGTAGAATAATGGTTATCAGTCCAGCTTGGAATGTAGGATGGTTTATGGCAGGGGCCTGTGGTTCCTCATGAGACCCCCCTTTGGGTATGAAAGGGTGTTAAAGGTGATAGTATTGTTTTCTCTTGTGAGAGAGAAATGAGTCAAGAGTGTGAATCCTGATGGTTTCGCACCTTAACAGGGCAAAATTTTCCTTTTCATGTTACTTGATAAGAGGTGGCACCCACCTATCAGTCCCAGGTGAATCTCAGGGATGCAACATGAACTCAGTGTCAGTCTGTGGGGAGTGTTGTGTTGGTCTCCCATTTGTTGCAGGAGTGTTGATTTGGGATGAGTTCCATGAACTAGCCATGAATTCCGATGATATCTTAAAAGCTAGTTTAATGGTGAGAGGAACTCATTTCCTCCCTGTTTTCTGTCCAGGTGATAGTTTGATGATGGGAAAGTGGACATGGGAGGCTCTCCATATAATCCAGAGCACCCCATTGTCCTTACCATAAATCTTGTCCGGTCACTGGCGTCCACCAGTGTCCGCTACACAGGCCCTAGAACTGAGATGTACTACAGACTCAAGTCTCTGTCTCATGAATAGGTCCACCCAGCGGCAGATTCTGATCAGTGCCTATTGTGTATAGCTAGCAGAGAGCTAACTTATCTGACCGGTTTAATCTGTACGCAAGCAGAAATGTATCACAACTACCTGTGTGTTAACACTTCTCAAAGTCTTGTCATCATAGTGAGGTCATCTGGTTTGGTTCCATTACACCTGTTCAGAGACCTTTACCAAACCTGTGCTCACTGACAGCGCCACAGCTGGAGATGTTGAACAGAAGTGCTGGAATCCTTTAAAGTTTGTAAATAACTGTGTAACAAACCACAGCCTAAGCAAACATTACAACAGCAAAACATTAACCTGCATGCACATTAACAAAGGTTAAGGGTCCTGCTGCTTATCTGTGCTGTGTTAGGTGAGGTTAGGCTTAGTCAGTTAATGTTACCTAGTCCTTGAAACAAAAAATAGAGGTCCTTTCCAGTGTGGTTGAAGAGTCAAGTTATTTGGGTGGCTTAGTGGTGGAGTGAAGTCCTGTCTGGCTGTGTGGCTTCTGCGTTGTGGAGGAGGCTGCTGTTTTCTCCTTTGTTCTTCTCACAGAGTGAGCTGTTCCACGCTATCTCTGCTGTGGCTCCTGTTGCTTGGAAAATCAGCTGTCAGACTTTGTGTCATAGCCCCTGCTGCCAAAGTTAACTTGTTCACTCTGTGTTGAAAAGCAGAGTGAGGGAGAGTGTTGCAGTCTGCTGTGAGCAGGCCTGCAGGAAAATCTGTTGTTCCAGGTAGCCTTGTGCTGACCTGGCATTGGGGGCCTTGTTGCTCCTCAAAGAGCTGAGAGGGAAGAGGAGCTGCTCCTCCTGAGAAAGCCAAAGAGAGAAGAGAAAGAACAAAGAAGGGGATCTGGTTTTGTTTGGTGACACCCATGTGGTGTCACATGTCATACACCGTCCAACACTGACTGGTCAGTGAGGTCCCTGGGGGAGGCTAGTCCCCAGGTGTGAACAGTGAGGAAGTGTGGGGAAGTGAGTTCTTTCTAGAACAGAAAAAACGTGGTCTCCACCACCTTGAATGTACTGAGTCCCTAAACTGCACATCTACTGTCTGCACTCTCTCTACATCTACTGTCTGTACTCTTTGTACATCTACTGTCTGTACACTGTGTAGATCTATTGTCTGTACATTGTGTACTTCTGCTGTCTGTATTCTCTCTACATCTGCTTTCTGTACTTCCTATACATCTACTGTCTGTACTTTCTGTACATCTACTGTCTGTACATTGTGTACATCTCCTGTCTGTACACTCTTGTCTGAGACCAATCTGGACAAAATAAGATCCAACATTTTTCTCCCTTGATTCTATGGGAAGTATTTGGATGTGCTGATTCCTCTCTTCTTTTTCTTGATGGATTATTGTGGCTGTTGCCTAAAAACAAGAATGTCCTACATGGGGCTGGATTTTCCTATGTGGAGTTCGTATTGTCTCTCCAACAATGAAATAAGATAAGATTTTTTGGAAATTGATGAATGATCACTTTTGTCAGCTGTTGTAAAAGCTTAGCAGTCATTGTTTATCTGTAGGTTCAGATCCCATTCAGACCAAACAGTGGGTCAAATTTGCCTCGGGGATCCAGCATGCCTAAGGCAACCTCCCTCACGACTGGGTCTGGACATGGTTTGGAAGCTCGTTCGCTACCAGGAATTGAAATAAATTCAATGGTAACAACATTATTGAACCTCGCCACAAACGGAGAAAGAGAAAGGAAGAGAGGAGAGAGAGAAGCCCAGAGGTAGAAAATGTACAATCATGTGTATATGGACAGAGAGGTGAAACTGACCCATGTGACTTTTATCTGGTCAGTTCAGGATGTAATTTATCAGTGAAGTGTATGAAGAACACAGAAGACTCGAGTCTCTGTCTCATGAATGGGTCCACCCATGGGCAGATTCAGATCAGTGGGCCTCATTCACCAATATCTTAAGTATTTTCTTAAATTCCTTTTTAAGTTGTTCTTAAGAAAGCCCTTAAGAAAGCTCTACGTCAGATTCATGAACGTGTTCTTAAACTGCAGAATTATGCGCACCTGTGTTCTTAGATTGATGAATGCCAATCTCCTCGTAAATTGAAAGTGTGTGCCAGTTGGCCCTAATTAGCATAGGTAAATGCCTGAAAATGCCCTTAAAAGGGCATGAGACTGAAGGATCGTGTGCAGACACAGACAGAAGTTACAAAGAGATACCGTAAGGGAAAACTGAGAAAATGCCAAAACGAAAATCTAAAGACGGAGCACCGGAATCAAAACGCAAAAGGAACTTCAGTAGTTCTGAAGTGGAGGTACTGCTGCAGGAAGTGAGCCGCAAACGAGGGGTTAAGTGGTAATGTAGCATTCATTTATTTTAAAAGACCATAATGCTTTTTTAAATAACAAAAGTTATTTAAAAAAAAAAAATTAAACATGACAAAAATGTTTTTGTAAATTAAGTAATTTAATATTATATTGCGAAGAAAACGCAATAACCACTTATTTTGCTCAAACATGTCAGCACTCAAATGAGTACTCTTGAGTGTGCGTAGAAATTAGTGAATGTCAGGATCTTCGTAAAAAGTGCGTAAGTGGGTTTTATGAAGAAATTTCTTCTTAAGAATGGTTGGTGAATGAGGCCCAGTGTCTCTGTGTTAAGTACAGAGCTGGAGTCAGGATGTGGTTAGCTTAGCTTAGCTGGAGTTGGGGATGTTGCACAGAAGTGCAGGCGGGGTCAATAAAGAAATAGTTCAAATGACCTTGAAACAGGGTTTCCATGGATCATCGAAATCCTTCAAAATTTTTGTATTTGAGGGGTAAAGTTTTGAAAATGGACATAAATTGACATGGGTCATTGAAAGTGCTTGAATTGATATGTTTTGTGCAAAAAGAGAACTTGAAATTCATTTAATGTTTTTAACATGTCTTTTCCTCTGTTTCTCTTAACTTACGCAGTATGTTGTTTTGCTGTACTGCATTTGAGACCACATAGTCTACCATCTCTGTAACACAGCATCACTGACAGATGTTCACAACATTTAAGCCTCTCTCTCTTTTTTTGTTGTTGTCAATGAGCTTCTGTCAACTCTCATTATAAAAATTCTTAGTGTATTGTGGATTCTGTAAAAAAGTCTTTTAGGATGCGATACTGTCATTTACCATAATTCCCAGCCTCTGTCTTCCTTCTCTCTTCAGGCTCCATGACCGCAAGATGTGTATTATCGGCCTGAGCGTGCTGATGGAGCTGCCCAGCCGACCGGCAGTCCTTGAGGGAATTGCCACCCAGATCATCCCCTCCATCCTGCTCCTTTTCCTGGGCCTCAAACACCTCTATGCCTCCCGTCTCATCAACAAGCCAGACCTGCTGGCCCGCGCAGGGCCTCAGGATGAAGACCAGAATGGTGAGAAAAGATCAGGAAAGAGAAAATGGAGGAGAGGAAGGAATAAAGCTGACTGGAGTAAATTTGTGGAGAGTTGAAGGCGGAGGTGTAGAAGACGAGGCAGAATGAATGGACTAAAAAAATGCAGTAAGAAGGAAAGAAATTGGCTTTGTGACAATTTCTTTCCAATTCCTTTGCCAATGTCTGATCTTCCACTGCTTGAATCTTGATTCAGCCCCAAGCTCAAATTAGCTGCAGCACATTTACTTTCTCACATAAAAGACTGCTGTCCACTGCTTGTGGGGCAGACTGGTAAATGAAATTACTTCTACGGTGATGGCTGAGGGTTTCTCCTGCGGCCTGGGATTTAAAATGCATCGATTTAATTTTTAGAAAGGTGTGTTCTAAATAGAAAAGCTGACAAATGTCTCCACTCAAAACTGGGGCTGTGGTGACGCATCGACGTAATCAATTATGTAAATATGCCGATTTATGTAACGTGCGTCGACCCGTTGCAAGGAGGAAGTAAGATAGCTGCGCCTAGTCAGAGCATGGACTTCAAACAAGGAGTGTTACAGCCTCCAAAACTAAGGCTCAAAAAGGGGTAAGAGGCTGCAACATATTGAGTTAACTCCAAAAATATTCAAGGTTGCAAACAAAAACCAAGGGAAACAAAAAGGACTGGAGACTCTGGCCAAACTAAACAAAAGAAGGGAAGACAATGGGCCAACCACGCAGTGGGCCGTCGAATAACATAACTACCGGTGATCTCAAGCCCAAATTAACACAATAAGTATATAATAAGTAATAATAATAATAAGTAACAAAACCCCACAGAACCTAAATGTGCATGGAGGAGAGAACCCTGCTTGGGGAGAAAAAGAGCACAAAGAACCCTCACCACAGGTACAGCTGTCCATGTGTGTGTGCCTTCCCTTGTATCTGCATTCTCTGCCTCTCTTATCCCTTCCCTCTCTCTGAGTGCTGATTGCACCCAGGTGTGCACCAGGCAGAGGGAGGAGAGACGCAAGACTAACAGTGCGAAAAAACCTTGCCCACGATTATCTGAAGTGTGGGATTATTTTAAGCAGGGGCCGAACAACATAGTGCTCTGCAAATTAGAGATGTTTTATCACAGGAGTACTACGGCCATGCTCGAGCACATGAAGCAGAGCTTTATTTTGGAGAGACTTTATATCTAACTGTAAAACACAGATTACCAGTTAGGACTGGACTATTTTTTGTTTGGGAATAATGCCCTGCAGTGCACACTTTGTTTGTCATATTTGTTTGTTTTAACCCTCATAAGCCCATGGGAGCGTATTCCAAATTTCACGTTGTCTGTAGAGCGTCAATCCTCCGCGACCGTTTGCGCTAGAGACGTACAGTTTTTTTCTTAAAATAGACAATTGGGGCTTTTAAACAACACGAGGAGCAGGATTTGGCTGGACCGCCGACTGTGAATCAGGAGTCGGCCGGACCGCCGACAGGGAATCAGGAACAAGAGTCGGCCGGACCGCCAACAGGAGGAGCAGATGAGACGTTATCCAGAACCACTAACTCAGGAACAAGGGAGGAGTCTACCGGGACCCCCGACGCTGAGACAGCTGATGCGTCAGCCAGGATGGTCGACCCGGGAATTGAGTCAGGAGCCAATGAAACGTCAACTGGGACCCCAGACACTGGAACAGCTGATGCGTCAGCCAGGGTGGCTGGCGAGGGCTCCTTGTCACAGGAGAGCAGAGGTTCTGGATAGTGGGGTAGTTGGGGCTTGGGCTGGAAGTTGGAGACCTGGGACTGTGGCTTGTGCTGGAAACTGGAGACCTGGGACTGGGGCTTGGGCTGGAAGCGAGGAACCTGGAGTTTCCTGTGGTGACGGGAGCCATAATGTCCTCGCTTTCCGTGGCCGCCATGGAACCCAGAACCCAAAAATATCCAAACGAATTCCCTTGAAAAGGGACTTGTCAGGGTCCTCCAGGTCCAAGTCAGACAGCAGGTCAGCCATCGTGCTAAGGGATCTGACGTTCGATGGGGGCGCTGGCTGGAAGGATCAAGGCAGAGGCTCGGGCTGGGAGTTCTGGGGCTGAGGCTGCTTGGGGAACCGGCGTCTCTGTGACCTGCTTTTCTTCCCAGGGGCTCCCTCCCCTAGATACCTCCCAGGGAAGGCTAGCCGGGTTCCCCAAAAAGGATACGGCTCAGGGTCCTCCAGATCCCAGATCCCAGTCAGATAGGGAATCAGCCAGCATGCAAAGGGGCCTGACGACTGACGGGGGTGCTGGCTGGGAGGATTGAAGGCAACCTCAAAAAAGCCATGAAACTGGCGTATGCTGCTGGGTCCATATTATGGTTGGTTCGTTCTGTCACGGTGCTGGTAAGGCTGGACCCAAATGCAGCCATCACATGGGAATGAAGTGCAAAAAATTTTTATTAACGGAAGAACTTACAAAACCAGAGGGTGGTGAACCACAGGGAAACACAGGGGATCACAGGAACTAGAAGCACAAGGAAGACAAGGACTTAACGGGTAACTCACAGGAAAGATAACAGCTGACATGAACAGGCAACATGAACAGACTGAGGACAAACCAGACATGAACAGACGAACCGACCCAGAGAAACGGGAGCACAGAGACTACATAGACACAAGGGAGGCAAGGGTGATTGAACACAGGTGAAAGTGCAACTGAAAATTAGGGCGGGGCAGATAATCATCTAACAGAAACAGGACCAAGACAGGAAGTAAAAACATTGAGACACACAAGGAAACCAACTACAAAATAAAACAGGAAGTGACAAAATCCAAACAAAATCTAACATAAAATGTCTGCCATGGCAAACCATGACAAACACATAAAGATAGAAACTTCATATCACCTGTAGAACAACCCAAACAAATAAATACAGTTTTCTGTGTTGAATTTTTGCTTTTTTATTATGTTTACAGTGTATTTATGTATGAAATAAGGAAAGTTCCATGATTGTTTTTTGTTTTTTTTGTTTTTGTTTTATGGGCTATTAACCTCTATTATACTGTACTGAAGTCTTTATTGAGTGACATTTATTATTAGCTGAGGTTATGCTGATTCTAAATATGTGTAGCACTTGGTGAAACTGTTAAAAATTTTATTCGGAGAAACACAAAGGTATTACAGAATAATAGTTTTTCAAATATATTTTGGGTAAATTCGTTGTTATATTAATCGAAAAAATAATCGTTAGATTAATCAATTAATTGAAAAAATAATCAATAACTGGCTCAGAGACATGGTACACCCACTCCTCCTTGTCCTCTTGAAAGAGGGTGTTAGAGGCTGCCACTGAGACGACATTGTTCTCTGGGAATGGCTCAGGCAAGGGCAGAGCAGGTGTCTCTGCATTCTCTATCTGAACACCAGGACGAAGGGTCAGGAGAAGAGATTTCATCTGTGCCACCTTGGCTGATATCTGCTCAAACTGAGAAGAGAGTTTGCCCTTTTCAGCTTTAGCCCTCTTTCTGGATGGGGCAGCAGAAGCTGCATCAACCCTTTTACAGGTAGGTTGAGCTGGAGACAAATGGTCTGTGGAGGGGAAACTCTTCACTGAGTGATTACTCCACCTCGGTCAGCATGGCAGCCCAAAATGCCCGAGGCATGAAGCTTCAATTCATGCAAAGGTCCACTGAGAGGCCCTCCCTTAGGTGCTTGAGGGTGAGACAAGAGGGGCAAAGATCATGGCCATCATCTGCCTGAAGAGGAGCCATACAGGCACTAGAATAATGGGGGGTCAGCATAGTGGCAACTCGTGTAATCCCCCACTAGAGACACTGTATGTACACTGGGAGCGGGGGCGAAAGCACCACCTAGACCAGTAAAAGTTACCAAGAGCCACCAATTCAGCCCCAGAAGAGCACTGTCACTAACTTTGGCACAAAGCAGGAGCTAGTAATCTTCTACCACATGTTGAGCGAAAGCACTGCCATCACCAACAGGTGTAGCGTTAACGCCATATTTTAGAATTTACTCTCGTTGAAATGGGGCACCAGTCCTCTAGGAGGCCAACAATGAATTACTTCATTGCCAAATTTATCAATCTCATATCGGAAGCCATGACTTCTCGATTCAATGGATCTCCAGTCTCTATGTCAAAAGAATACAACAGGACAACAACTGGGTGTAAATAAAGGAGTTTATTTAACTAAACTACTATCTACAGAGTAAATGCAAGGTGTAATAATCATAAAGATGAAAATAATAAGGAAATGAGCAGTGTGATGAGTTGGCAATGGTGGGAGAGAATATGTTATGGCTATACACTATGGCTATACAGCTAATGATACTACATCTACGAATTAGGTCTGTTGATTAAATATTGCTATATTTCGACATCAACCCAGTCACGAGCAGAGTGTTAAGACCGGCCTACTGTGAGTTGCGCTGTAGCTGAGGACCCTTGGCTGGAACCCAGGAGGCTGTGGTTGCCGTGGTAACCCTGGAGACGCGGGATCTAGGTGGATTCTCCTGGAGGCCGTGTCCCGTTATCACGATGGCGGATTCTGCCGGTGTCTCAGCGATTCAGCTCTGGTGGAGTTTGCCAGGAGACTTTCTGTCTCAGGCACTCTTGATTTCTGCTCGGCTTCTCTGTAGGCGGTTGTGCAGAGGTGTCTCTGCCGACGTCTCTTGCGGGTTGATGCGAAATAACTCTAATGCTCTTCACTTTGGCTGGATAACTTTAGAGGAGACTGGCGTTGACCAGATGACTCTAAAGTTGTCAAAATCTTCAAAAAGGAAAACTTGATGATTAAAAGTTATAAAATTACTCTGAGGCACTTCTGTTGCTTTGGTTCAGTTGGTCTTGACTTGCCTTATAAAAATAAATGATCGCGCATGTAGATAAAAATCATGTTACTTGTAGCTTGTGGCAAAGAAAAATAAAAGACGCGAAAAGTGCAAAAATGACTAAGAGCCATGAGTTTGTGGCTAGCAGCTTAGAGCTAAGAGTTCACATGGCTACAGAGCCGGGCTTTGAGCCGGGACTCTGAGCTTTGAGTAAAGATCTCAGCTTCTAGTTTCTGCATCGTTTCTCGCTCCTCGCATCTTGTCCTTAGGCATTGGCTTTGGCTTAGGCTTTTGGCTTTTGGCTTTTGGCTTTTGGCTTTTGGCTTTTGGCTTTTTGGCTTTTGGCTTTTGGCTTTTGGCAATGTGTGAATTGTTCACGACTGTTTTATCCCCTGGGGGCTGGCGCATGTTTCATGGGCACCACCCATCGTCTCCTGTATTTCCATTTGGAGAAGAGAGTAATTTTCCACTGAACTTTGGAATAATTTAAATCTAGAGTTTACTTATAAACTCGCACATCCATCTTCCACCATGACCACAAAACATTAAGTGAAATAACATATAAAACTATTTGCTCTAATAATGGCAGAGAAAAACCTGGAATCAATCATGATACAAGTGGTTAACTGATCAAAATACAATACATTTCCTAAGCTAATAGTTTATACATATGGATTACACAGCAGTTCTTCGACTGTACTAATAATAATATGGACATTCTGGGTGTCATGTAGTGTGTTACCTTGTGTGAGGGATGTTGACAGTATGGTCGCATGAAGAACATTGTCTTAAAATCTACATGTTACATTTCAAACATTCTATGGGATAGAAGTTTGGGGTGAAACTATTGCATAGGAAAATCTCATGAGTTAGGGAACAGTTAGATATTTCATTTTACATTCTTCCTTAGATCTGTGTCTGTGAAGAGTGTTCTGCTGGTCACTACCCAGGATTGGAATGTGGGTTGTAGTTTATGACTCTTATCTAGAGAGGGACAGAGGAAGGGAGGTTGCTGTGTGTGTCCATGCATGGCACAGACAGGCCAGGATTCACACTTTAGTGTTAATCAGTCCTTTTGTTGCTACTTGTCCTATACAAGAAACAATCAAATATCATTAGACAAAGTCTTATTGTTACAAACTGGAGATTTTGCCTATATTCTCCAGTTGTCTGGTGTCCATTGGTTGATCCTCTGGAGCTGACCCTTTGACCTTTGGTCTGGTTCTGTGTCGTTCGAACATGCTAAAAGCATGGTCTGTTTGTGGAAGAGGGATCCTTTGTCTCTGTTTCCAATCAATTTGATAGTTTGATGATGGGAAGAGTCGCAAAGTGTCAATTGTGGGTCCGTAACTCTGCATGTCCTTATAATGAACTTCCTTTATGGCTTGTGACTGATGCCAGGCCACGCATGTATGCTACAGGGGGTTGCTATAACACCTAAAACGTTAGATTGAGTGACAGCACCAACAGTAGGCACAAACCGAAAAGTGTGTTGGGGGTAGGGAGCTGAGACACTACCCTTACCAACAGAGACAACTTAACAAGTCAGCTGGATTGAAAGCACCACAGCTGACTGCTAATAAACAAAACAATCAATGTTTGACACAGGAGTGAAAACACTGCCCTTGTCAGTTATTAAGCATAAACAAACACAAAATACCACAGCTTATTACACACAGAATGGCAGTGGGAGCACTGCCTACACAAACAAAAATTAATAACCACAACAAAAATTAGACTGAGCAAAGTGCTACTATTTAACTATAAACAAACACCAAATTCCACAGCCTATCACACACTGAACGGCAGCAGGAGCACTACCATCACAAACAAAGTTGATAACGAAGATCAGCTGAAGCTTAAGTGCTGCTTATTTATAAACAAAACCTGCAGTTTATCATACACTGGCAGCGGCAGTGAGAGCACCGTCATTGCCGAATGATTTCTTATAAACGTGCTTAAGTTGTCTCAAAATGAGCAACTACTTACCAAAATGCTGGTCCACAAACTTAAAGGAAACTTCTCAGGCTGTTTATGTGTCTGTGTAGGGAAGGTGTGAGTTTCTTTGTCAACCTAGTTCATGTAGCCTAAAGGTGGCAGGTTAGAAGGAGAAGGTCAGCTGCATGCAGGTGCTAGAACTGAGATAAGCTACAGTGTTTAAACAGACCAGTAACAAATAAACTGTATGACTCACTGCAACCTAAGCAAACATTAAAACAACAAGCTAAGTGAATACATTAACTAAACATATACATGTACAATGACAAAGGTTAAGAGTCCTGGTGCATAACTGTGGTGTGCTGTGTTGTGCTAGGTTGGGTTAGGCCCAGGCATTTAATGTTCCCCATTCCTTGGAACAGAGAGAAAGGTCCTTTCCAGTTTTCTTATAGTCCAGTGAAATTGTTGCTTCCTGATGGAGTGAAGTCCTGTCTGACTGTATGGATTCTGTGTTGCAGAGGAGGCCTCTGATTTCTTCTTTGTTCTTCTTACAGAGTTAGCTGTTAGCTGTTCCACGCTAACTCTGCAGTGGCTCTGGTTGCTCAGAAAATCAGCTGTCAGGCTTTGTGTCGTAGCCACTTAAGTAAACTTGTCAACTCGTATCACTGCTGTTGAAGAGCAGAGTGAGAGAGAGAGAGCCATTGTCTCATGTAGCACGGCTGAACTGGGATGGGAGCCGCTGCTCCTGAGCAAGCCAAGGAGAGAAGAGAGAGAGGACAAAGGAAAAGAGCTGGTTTTGACACCCTGGGGGGTCACATGTAACACACTGACCAGTCAGTAATGTCCCTGGGGGAGGGTCGTCCCCAGGTGTGAACAGTGAGGAATTGTCGGGGAAATTAGTTCTTTTGTCTGAGGAACAAAAGAACTGGTGGTCTCCACCATCTTAAATGTAGTCAGTCCCAACATCCCCCCTTTGGTGTCAGGATGCCACCTGATGTGTCATCCTCAGAGCAGAATGTACAGTCCATTTATCAGTTCATTCAAGTGGTAATGTCTGGACATTTGTCAACATTATCTGTCTTGGCTAAGCAATAACAGTCATCAGGTTACAAAGCAAAATCCAGATAAGCAACCACAATGATGGCATACTATAAAAATAACTAACGTGTTTCCCAGTTACTCACTGTGTTAGTGAGAACAGGAAAGTGAATGGTGTTAATATGTTAAGGTGAGATGCAGAGAGTGGCACCTAGAATGACGGGGCTTGGAGTGTCTGAGTGATTGTGCCATGGCTCGGTGTAATGTCCTAAGATTGTGTTAGATGTCAGGACGTGTGTAACTAGCTCTGTTAAGTCATAGTGGGCTGAGTGAGTTTCACTGATCTCACCAGCAAAGTACAATTAAAGAGTGGTACAAGGGTACCTACAGAGTTGGATGTTGCTGTCCGAGTTGATTCAAAATTTGAGTTTGCAGCTGCTGCTGACAAACCCAGTTCATCTACATAACTGCAGGAAGGTAAGGTACCCTGAGATTACCTACTATCAGTCTTGTGCTTTAAGTGTTTCCTTACCTGTGGCACAGGGCTATAACACTCTGAATACCTGGAGACAGAGAAAAAGTCAGAAACATTCAACATTATACGACGTAATGTGATCAGAAATGATGTTGTCATTCTCTGATCCATGTATTTGCTGGTCATGGCTCTGGGCCAGAATTTTTGTGTATGGCCCTCTCCTGCTCCTAATGTTGGAGTGCCTGTCTCTATGCATCTGGTGGACATGGTGGTTATGCTCAGTGTCCCTATGTGGCGATGGAGATTTATGATGAGTTGGGTGTGAAGCACATAGACCATTCAGAGATTAATCAATGTTTTCAGAAATTTTACTCTTTCACATTAAGTTGTATACTACGGAGTCTCTTGGGGATGATTCATTGTTTGATTCATTCTTTGGAAAATTGGATATTCCAGTTATTAATAATGAGACTGCTGCTGATCTAGAAGAACCATTTTCTATATAGGAACTTACAAATGCAGAAAATTCTATTCAAAATGGAAACTCTCCAGGCTCCTTGTCACTGCTTTTATGCAATGCAGTTGAACCACTGGCAATTGCCCTGCGTGGTGAGGTCCACATTAAGGGAATAAATAGGAATGGTTCGGAGCTATCCCTTTATGCTAACAACATGCTTTTATATCTATCTGATCCTCTTATTAGCTTATCAAAAACACTTTGCCTATTAGAAGATTTCGGCAAAATATGGGATATAATAGGATATGATAGCTTTTGCACCTCTTTTAGCTAGACGACTTTTATTGTTTAAATGGAAGGATAAATTTCCTCCAACTTTCAGTCAATGGATAAAAGACCTTATGCACTCTTTGACATTGGAGAAAATCCGCTACACTACAAGAGGGTATGCTCTGAAATTCCATGCTATATGGCTTGTGTCGGAAGGAGGGACACTACTGTTATTGCAACCTTGTGTGACTGACCCCAGAATATGTATTGTTGTTTATGTATCTACTTGTGATTCTTTAACTTTATTTTTTTTTCTTTCTCACTTATTTGTTGTTTGTCTGATTTTTCTTGTTTTACCTAGATTTATTGTTACATTAGTTTTATTTATCTGAATGTATATGTGATTAGTTCGGAGATTGACTCTGATTGTAAACGTGGTGCAGTGGTTCTGTAGTGGGATGGGGCTCTGTTGGAGCAGACCAAAGGGGGGAAGGGATATATTGTCCTTATTCATTTATTGGTTTTGAATTGCAATCTGTAAAACTTTAAATGCCAGTAAAAAGACCTTGAACAAAAAGTCTGTGATGGGATAAACATCTGTGTTATGTGGCTCTGTGCTGTTCTAGGTGGACTTTCTGTCTCTCTGTGTTCAGAAGTTTAAAATGAACAGAGAAAATGATCATTATTGACATTAACGGCTTTAATCTGTGTTATTTTCTGGTGGCAGAGGAGATTCCAAGTGATGAAGATGAGGTGAATGAGAACCGAAATGCCATGCAGCAGCAGACCAGCACGCCGACAGGCCAGGGCGGCGAGGACGATGATGAAGATGAAGATGACTACTGGGATGATGATGGCTTTGAGGGAACACCCCTGGAAGAGTACAGCACGCCTCTCGACTATGACAATGGAGAGGACGAGTATCAGTTCTTCACCTCAGCCCTGCTCAGTAAGTGATCATTCAAATGTCTCACAGCTGTCAAAATGATAGCCTGAACTGCACAAAGGTAGAAGAGATGGAGTTAAAGTGACAGAAAGGAAAGGATTTACCTGCCCTGGTTCCACAAGACAACAAATGACCTATAATCAAACTTTTATTCAATCAGTCATGTTTTTGATTAATGCATTACAACAATATAAAACAGAGAAAAGCTGCAGATTGTAATTGTTGCCTGGTTTGATATTTTTGCTAAGATAATAAGTAGGGCTGGGACGATTATTCGACGTAATCGACGTTGTCGATTATAAAAATTATTCGACGTGGAATTTTAGTGTCGACGCGTCGTGTAAAACCACACAGGGTAAATGTTCATAGAACAAAACCGGAACTTTCTAATGGGACCGTTTATATCCAGCGTCTTTGGTTTACCCAGATACAAGCGCATCGCAAGGGCTGGGACAACGCGGTGACGTAGTTGAAGTCATTGACTTCGTGAATAAGGCCTCCGGGGGGCGCTCTAGCGGGAAGCGCAAAGTGAGAGAGACGTGGGGAAAGATTATGCGCCGAAGAAGACACGGTTTGATTTTGATTTTGAACTGTCATGGAAAACACACGGAAGAAATGCATATGATGCGGCTTAAAGTTAAAGGCAATCGATCAGGCCGTCAAAGAGGGAAATAGAGCTACTGCACCTAAGCTTGATATCAATGATGGTGAGACGTTGGAGGTGGCAGCGGGAAGAGCTGAGTCAATGTAAAAAGACGGCAAAAGTTTTCAGAGGACATAAAAGCAGATGGCCCGAACTGGAAAACATTCTTGAAGACTGGGTGAACACACAGAGAGCAGACGGCCGAGGTGTTTCCACCGTGCAGATTGGGCTGAAAGCAGAGGTGGACCATCGTGGTGTCTCAGGTTTAAAAAAAAATCTACCATGTAATGTATTTCTGTGTACGTAAATATCTCATGTTACAACATGAAAACCTGCGGCTTATTGTCAAGTGCGGCCTATATATGTACAAAATTTATTTTCTTGTAAAATTTAGCTGGTGCGGCTTATATTCAGGTGCCCTCAATAGTCCGAGATTTCTGGTGTATTAAATGACTAACTGGAAAATAATTGCAATAAAATTACTGTTAGGTTAATAAAAAAAAAAATCGTTAGATTAGTCGAATAATCGAAAAAACAATCGCTAGATTAATCGTTTAAAAAATAATCGTTTGGGACAGCCCTAATAATAAGTCATTTAAATCACAACAGAGACACATACCCTAACCCCAACACATACTGCTGGAACCTGCTATCCTCAGGGTATCTCTCCTTTCTATTGAGGCTAAGCATCCATAAAATCACCCATCACTACATTTACAGAACTACACCCTATACCACCTTCTATTGAGGGAATACAGATTAAAAAAAGAATCAGTTTTATAATCTGGAGTCGTATATTTGCAGTAGGGGGGTAAATTGGTGGCTGCTCCTCAAGTGGTAAAACCCTGGTGTGCCTTGAATTGCAATTGGTCAGCTAATGACCAATAACGTGCTCAACTTCAGGCTAGTACCGACATATAATGGTTGTAACATTAAATGTGCTGTTCCTATTCTTCTTCTGTAGCCTCAGAAGTGAGTCAGCAAATTACAGGACAAATGTAATGATCGCAACATGTAGTAATCATGGACAAGATGGCCAGTGGTTTACATACTGTGAAGAAGCTCATTCACTGTACTGCACTGTTTGCTTAGCATTTGCAAAGTCCTCTGCTGGTGACAGTCCATTTATTAGAGGAGGAATGAAAGCCTGGAAGCATGTTCATCAGAGGATTGCGGAGCATGGGAAAAGCAGAGTACATAAAGACTGTGCACAGGCGTATTTCCTTAAAGCCAGCAAAACAGATATCAGTAGCTTACTGAGTAGTAACCAGATGTCCTTACACCCAGAGCAAGTTAAGAAAAAAACAGCAGGTGATGGAGCGTGTTGTGGATATCATCAAAGTCAAAAGAGCCAGAGGCAGCATGAGACTGGGGGGAAAGATGGAGGGTCCCTTGTTACTCTTCTTTCAAAAGACACCATCAAAGTTGTAGATGTCATCAGCCAATTAATTTAACAAACTATTGCAAGTGAATTCAGAGAAGCAGGGATGTTTTCTGTCCAGCAAGATATAATCTCCAAAGACAAGTGCTCAGTTATCCTCAGATATGTAACAGGTGTTATTCATGAGAAGTTGATTGCTATTGCAGAATTCTACAAAAAGTCAACCTAGATGTGTCTTCTTGTGTAAACAGCACAGCAGATGGTGCAGCTAACATGGAGGGACATTATAAAGGCTTTTCTACTTTTCTTTCACAACAGTCTCCCAACCGAGTTCACATCTGGTGCTATGCACATATTCTAAATCTGGTGTTGGTTGGCACAACAGGCAGTGTTCTACACAGTGCATCACTTTTTGGATTGCTGACGTTGCAGTCTTCATATGTGAATCATATAAGTGCATGCAGAAGTGGGAAAGGATGAGTGCAAAGTCAATCAAGTGTCACAGAAAACTTTGTCCAATAGAGCAAACATGGTGGTGAGCAAAGAATGCAGCTTTGTCTAAGGTGTTCGGGTGTTTTGGAAACCCTGACAGTGCCATGTTTGTTGACCTGGTCCTGACACATCACCCTTGTTGAAGTATTTGCAGACAAGTGGGATGGATGTCCTCACAGCACCATATCTGGTTGTGGGAACAAGTGTTTGTCCTGCCGTTAATTTCCCTATTAGCTCTAAACGTCAGCTTCTGCAGGTTGGAGAAGCGTTGGTCCATGTGTGTTCATTCTGACATTTTTATTGAGAGAGGTGAGACTTGGAAAGTCTGAGGATTTTTCTACTAAAGTTTATTCAAACCATCTTATCTCTTAGTGAATGAAAAAAGCCCTACCTGTGAGCTGAGAAATTCTGAGGGTGTCCAGATGTTTATCCACCCACCGTTGATTTTCTGAAATATTTTTTACACTTTGATTATGAAAAACAGCGAGGGAAACGGGCCAAAAAAGGCTGACACAAATTGACTCAGAGCAGCCAGATACTGAGGGGGTGGAATCAACAGCAATACTAACAGGCCCCCGCTGGTGCTATTTGCTGCTGTTTTCTGTTTGTTGGGGGTAGGGTAAGTGTTAGGGTGTTGGTTGTGATGGTTAAGGTTAGGGTAAGGGGCATTATGTCAACAAGTATCCTCACAACTAACATAAGACATTTGTGTATTCGTGTTTTTTAGGAGTCCAGAACACCGATGCAGTCTGGTACCAGAGTCTGATGGCTCCGCTCAGTGACGACCAGAAGAAACAGCTGCAGGAGATCTACAGCATCTCACAGCAGAGGAGGAGCACTGCCGCCAAGGGCCAATGGTGAGAGGAAACACAGGAGGGAGGAGGAGCTGGTTGGGAGCAGAGGGAAAGAGACATAAGAGACAGAGACAGACAGAACAGGATGTAAGTCAGTAAGAGGCCTGAAGGTTTGCTTTGTCACATGTTTCTGACACTCAGCAGCATCAGGACCAGTGGAAGTCAGTCTATGGAGACCTGAAAGGGACATATATTTTAGATAGTTGGGGAAAAGGCCTGCTTTTGTATTATATCAAGAAAATGTTCACATTATCCTGAGAAATGTTTATCTTGTGTCCCTCATGCAGTACCCAATACTTCAAAAATAAAAGCTTTATCTCTGAATTGACCAGAAAATTCAATTCACAAAAACTGTCATGTCAGTTTAATTTTGTAGCCCCAAATGACAAATTTGATAATTTGGTTTTCTAGTTTTTACAACATACATAACCCGTTATGCCAGCAGTTTTTGGTGGTGTGAGGCACGCCTCCCTGGGGGTGGGCGCCAGAGAACTTCAGGGGAGGCTACAGCGTGAGAAAACATAAACTAGAAGCAGCACAGTTATGGCTGGGCGTCCCGTATTTTCATTCATGTTATGTCCTCAAATTGCTGTAAATAATGTAATGTCAAGTAATAATGTTGCATAATCTTCCTGGGACTTCAGGCTGCAATGGAAACACAGACAACAATGGGCCACAGGAACCTTTTAGGTCCTGAAGAAAAGAACTAAAAGTTCCAGGGCGGACGATTGATCTTTAAACGATTAATCTAGCGATTATTTTTTCGATTATTCGACTAATTTAACGATTATTTTCTTTTTATTAACTTGACATGACTGTGTGCTAGAGTGATATGCCAGATGCACTTTGCAGAGCAGTGGCGGCTGCTGGTCTTATAAGGAGGGGAAGCTCATTTTCGGCCTACATCATAAAATGTGTCCGTTTATATATGTAAATTCGCAGAGTGACAGAAGAGAGTCACCAAACACAACGCTAGTCGTTTTTAACAAAGACAAAGTCGCTGAGGATCAGTAACGTCTCCAGATCAACTCCGAACAACGGAATGAAAAACTTGAAAAATGCTCCGGTGGATGCTTATACTTCAAGATCGCTGATTCGCTCATTTCACTGTCAATCAAAAAGGGACTCAGCCTCAGACAAATCATCCAATCATCATGCAGAAGCCGAGCATCCGGGCCAGCCCACTGCCCCATAGACCCCCCAGAGACGCTGAGCGTCCGATGGGCGGGACAAAGCCCAGCATTTATCCAATGACCTTCTAGTTTCGCTGCAGTGGAACAATCCACTCTATGCTTCCCCATTGAAGTCAGTAGACGCTCGGCGTCTACATTGTGTAAAGCACTGTGGCGCTGTGGGGATGAATGAGAAGGAAGTCGTGTCGGTTACCTGTGATAAGTAGCTGATTCTGAACAAAAGGTGAACATGTTCTAGCGCATATTTAGTCAATGAAATGTACACACAACAGTACATATTTGACCACTTATTTTGTTGACATTTTAGGGGAAGCTGAGCTTCCCTTGCAGTCTTCGCCACTGTTGCAGAGTCTGCAGACTACCGCACTGTTGGTGTCAAGATTAAAGTATTCCCAAACTTTGGAGGACCGTATGCGAGCCTTTTTTGCCGCGTGTTGCTCCACACGCTCCGTCGTACTGCTGGTAGACGCCGCCATGTTGTTCAAATAGATTACACAGACGCAAATCACGTAGTCAATGACTTCAATTACGTCACCGCGTTGTCCCAGCTCTTGCGCTGCGCTTGTATCCGGGTAAACCAAAGACGATGGATATAAATGGTCCCATTAGAAAGTTCCCATTTTGTTCTATGAACATTTACCGTGTGGTTTTACACGACGTGTCGACAATAAAATTCCACGTTGAATAATTTTTATAATCGACAACGTCGATTACGTCGGATAATCGTCCCAGCCCTAGAATTTATGGGAATTAACTGGAAACTGGGGATAATTTAAACAAACTGTATAAACATTTTATTTTGTCATAAGCAGCCATCCATGAAAAATAATACAATTAAAAAAACATGACATTTCAACAGATTTATTTGTGAGCAGAACTTTTTTTTAGAACTTTACAATCAGTTTTTTCATTGAACAAAAACATGAATGTTGAGTAAAATATTACTCATTCCCCCTCCCCCACCCAATCAAAAAGTAAAAAAAAATGTTCTGCATTTTTGCCAAACCCTTTCAGGCTATGGCCTCTTCTTGGGCCTCATTAACATCCTCCATGTTCACCTCCTCAACATCCGACGACTCCTCTTCAGTGTCACTGTCCAGCCTTGTTGAGGATGGCTCTGTGTCAGGCTCAAAGAGCCTTAGGTTTGCCCGAATAGCCACCAGTTTTTCCACTCTCACATTTGTGAGTCTGTTGCGAACCTTTGTGTGTGTGTTCCCGAACAGTGACCAGTTGTGCTCAGAGGCGGCTGATGATGGTGGGATTTGGAGGATAATGGAGGCCACAGGTGCAAGGGCTTCAGATCCACAAAGTCCCTTCCACCAGGTGGGTGCAGATATGTGCTGGCATGACTGCCATATTCCTTCCCCTTCCCAAAGGGCTTGCTTGGTTCGGTACTTTGCCAAACTGCCCAGAACTTTGCCTTCATCAAAGCCCAGGTGGTCAGATATGGCTGTAATGACAGCGTAAGCACTGTTAATCTCTTCCCAAGAGAGTATGCCCCTGTCATATTTTGGGTCAGGCATGTACGCTGCTGCATGCATCGGCTTCATGCAGAACTCCTGGTGCTTCTCCAATGACTTGACCAAAGCAGTTTCCTCTGCTTTGAGCAGTAAGAAATTGCTTCCTTTAAGGTTGGCAGAAAGACACTGGACATCTGATAAGATGGCATCATCACCGTCTATCTTGGCAATTGCTGCTGCAATTGGTTTGAGGATTCTCAGGCTGCTAGTCATTCTTTCCCAGAACACATCATCTAACAGGATTCTCTTGATGTCACTTTCGATGCCTGCAGTCTGGACTATGGCCATCTCTTGCAGAGACTCCTTTCCCTCCAGTAGACTGTCATACATGATGACAATGCCACCCCATTGTGATGCTGGGGAGCTTCATTGTGATACGCTTGTTTTTTTCCTTTTGCTTTGAAAGGTAGGTTGCTGAAGCTATGTATTTGCCCTTCACATACTTCACAACTTGTTTTGCTTTCTTGTATAGTGTGTCCATTGTCTTCAGTGCCATGTCTTTCAGGAGAAGACTCAGAGTATGGGCAGCACAGCCAATGGTTGTTATATGAGGGTAGGTTTCCTCCACGTGTGCCCAGGCAACCTTCATGTATGCTGCATTGTCAGTGACAAGTGTGAAAACCTTCTCTGGTCCAAGGTCATTAATGACTGCTTTCAGTTCATCGGCAATGTAGGGGCCTGTGTGTCTGTTCCCCTGTTTGTCTGTGTTCTTTGAGAATACAGGTTGAGGGTTGGTGACAATGTAGTTGATAATTCCTTGTCCCTGGACGTTTGACCACCCATCAGAGATGACTGAAATACAGTCTGCTTTGACAATGGTTTGCTTGACCTTTGTTTGCACTCTGTTGAACTCCTCATCCAGCAAATGAGTAGATAGCGCATGGTTGGGGGGGGTGTATGCTGGCCGGAGAACATTGAAAAATCTCTTCCAGTACACATTGGATGTCAGCATCAGGTGTGAGCCAGTTGCATAGACTGCACAAGCGAAACACTCATTTGCATTTCTCTGGCTACGTTCGTCCATCAAATCAAAGAATCCTCTGATACCAGAGGGTATCTGACTCTGACGCAGATTAATTTTCCCCTGGAGTGGAACTCTTGTCTGCTGCCTCTGCATATTTTGAGCCTTGAGGAAATTTTGGCACTTTGCAATATGCCACTGCATTTTTGTGGCATTCTTCACGTATGTCTTTCCACAATATTTACACATATACAAAAACTTTCCTTCAACATTAGCTTGTGTGAAATGTCTCTGCACATTGAATGGCTAACGTGTCATTTTTCTGTGAAGATAACAAAAGTTATAAAAACACTAATGCAATGGCATGAACAGATTTTTAATATATATATATATAATATATATATATATATATATATATAAGCTTAACGACTGGAATGGTCTTCAAAATATTTTACAGTTGATGTTGATAAATTCTTGTATGGTTACAGAAAACCGTCTTGAAGGAGGCAGAAGAAACAGCATCACATTTGAGGTAGCTAGCACCATGATAAGCTAGCCTCTTAAATGGTCAATGGAATGGTGCTACCTAACTTACTTTTAGCACCTAACTTACCAGCTAGCTAGCTACTGTATGAATACATTTTCATTAAATATTTGCAAGTTAAACATTGATACCATAGATCAAATATATTTACCCAATAATATTATCAAAACTTACTTGACTTTATATAGTCCACGGGCTCAAATGTGTGGCTTCAATACTCCAGGGTTCTAGAAATCATCTGTGCATGTGATGGAGGAATGCACAGTGCATGTAGGGGGTGTGGCCTCAATAGCCCAGCAGTAAGCAGTGTGCTGTGTGCATGTGATTGAGGAATAGCATAGATATTCAAGTGTACTTGCATTAAATCTGGTTGTTTAGCCAAGATTATGCTCCATATATTTTCCCCAACTATATTTAAGTTTTCTGTTAAGGGCCAACATTCAGTTTAGTAAATTTCCTGTTTATTCCAATATATTTTCGTTTATTCCCATATATTCCTGTTTATACCCATGGAAAGTTACCAACTTTGAAAATTCCTGGAATTTTGCAATTTTGCTATTCAAGATAGATACACAATGGTAATTATCCCTCTGCTTCCAGGATTTATTCTAAGCTAGGCTAACCACATCCTGACTTCAATTCTGTACTGAACACACAGACATGAGAGTGGTATTGATTTTTTCAGCTTACTGTCACAAAGAAAGAAAATACATGTTTCCCAATGTTCAACTATTGCCCTAAAAATTTTTCAGACACATTTTAGTAATTAGTGTTTCAGTTCATGTATGAGGATCAAATACTAAATTTCAGGACAGTAACCACAAGTATTTAAAACATTTTTTATTATTTATTTACAATTCTTGCAGTCTTTGAGATTTTGTAAGATCATGAAAAACTTTTTTTTGAGATCTCACTTTTTTTGTTTCATCCAATTTGAAGTCTTATGGCCCTTCCGGAGCTCCATAGCAGACATTGAGAATGACCACCAGTAACATAATGAGCAGAGAAGCCTTTAAAAACAGTTTTGTTCAGTCTCAAGTCAAAATGAATCTTGTTGTGTTTTCAGAACACTGAGGAGTCAGATGAACTGCAGAGTCAGAGGAAGGGGATGAAGAAGAGAGCAGCTGGTCTGACCTGAATTGACGTTAATTCAGTCTATTCAGAATGATCTCAGTCCAGATCAGACCGTTCTTAATGGATCCCACCAAAACCAGGTCCTGGGGTACCATCAGAACTGGTGGAGCACCTGGGGCTGGATTGGCATTATATATCAGTTTGGGACCTAGTGCACTGTATAGATCCACAGGCCCTACTGGAATATTACTATCACCAGGACAGGACTGCTGGCCTGTGTGTGTGTGTGTGTGTGTGTGTGTGTGTGTGTGTGTGTGTGTGTGTGTGTGTTTGTGTTTGTGTATGAAAAAAAATAGAAACACATCGAAGTTTGTGTTTGTATGTACTGCAAGCACTTGTTTTCATCTCTCTATAGCTGAACACTTTTTATCATCTCATGAAGTGAGAGCCGAAACAGAGCAAGAGGAGCCCGAATTCTGTCAGGGTGCCTTGTACACAGACTGCTGATGGACGAAAAGATCAAGGTCATAGACTTGCAGCCTCCAACTATGATGGCACACATATGAAATGTAAACTGGGAGGGGGATCTTGGGAGAAGCAATTTTTTGTCTTTCTGTTTGTCCCTGGCTTTTGTTTTTGTAACAGTTTTCAGAACTAATTTTAAAAAAATCATAAAGTTCATGTAACATCCAGAGTTTTTCTTGTTATTCTATCCTTCTTTACTGCTTCCTACCTTCACTAAAACAACACTCACACAAAGTACAGCTCACACTGATGGGATGTCATTAGTTTTGCAGGCATATGGTCATAAACGTAACCTGGTGATGCTCCGGAACATTACAGTCTGTAAAAAGTTTCATGACAATGCATCCAGTGGTGGTCGAGATGATTCAGTCTCCAACAATGACTGTAT